GACTTAATTTATATGTGTTTGGACGTCATCCATTGTCTTGCTATCTGCTGTCAGTATGGCATGTCAGAACAAAGTGCATTAATGCTAAGTGATTCCCAACTCTCACAGCTACAGAAGAATTTGATGACTACATCAGCAATCTATTTTTTTTTTCCTTGGCACTACAGCCCCAGTGGGCCTAGGTCTACCTCCATGAACTCCGTTCACTTCGGTTTTTCTAGATCTTACACATTTGGTAGGACTCCTTGGGCGGGTGATCAGATCGTCGCAAAGCCTCTACCTGTACACAAACACAGAAAAACGCACACAAACATCCATGCCCTGAGTAGGATTCGAACCCACGATCCCGGTTTCCAAGCGAACGAAGACAGTACATGCCTTAGACCTCTCGGCTACCGTGACCGGCCAGCAATCTATTTCTAGAAACTTTAAAATAAGCTGTACCAAATCATATTCCGTTTCTGTGGTCACCAATGACTCCCCCCCCCCTCTCCGTGGGAAAAAGTTGCTGCAGCGTGAATCTTAACGCTGTCTGTGAATCTTCCTTGATGTTGTGCTTGTGTTTGGTGACAACTTTAGAGTTACTTTTTCTGCGTTCTTTGCACAAAATTCATGGAATCCATTTATATACATCCGCCCATCATGCTTTGTATTTCGGAAATTAATATGTTTAAATATAAAACTTGTTTGTTTTTACTAACTCCATGGAGCTGAGCCCTTCTTGAGAAACCTCCAGTCGCTCGGGTATTCAAGAATTTCCCAACGGTTTATGGAAACCGAAGGTTCATTATCGTGTTCATTAGTCCCTATCCTGAGCCAGATCAATCCATTCCATGCATCTTAATATTTTCTTCCCACCTACGTCTAGGTCTTCCTGGTGGTCTCTTGCCTTCTGGCTTTCCCACCAAAACCAATATATGCATGGATCTTCTCCCAAATGCATGCTACATTCCCTACACATCTGCACTTGACTTGATCATCACTCTCTTCGCTCGCTCGGACACTGCTATCTTGGGTTCGAATCCAACTCAAGGTATGGATGTTTGGCGTGTGTATGCGTTTATTCTGTGTTTGTGTTGTCCTGTGTTTAGGTAGCGTCCTTGCAACGGGCTGGTCACGTCCAAGGAGTGATACCGCCTGTGAAAAATGATTACGGAACTGAATATGAGGCCTGGGCCCTGAATGGGCTGGAGGAGCCGCTGAAAAAATGAGTGCAAGTTATGAGGTTCCTCATTATGCAATTTACTGCAGTATCTTATTATTTAATCCGTCTTCGGCGCAGATATTCTCCCCAGCATCCTCATTATGAAAGAAAACTCTGGAAATTTCTAATTTTGCTAGTACATGCATAGTTTCAAAGTCCCAACTTTCCGTGTTGTTTCCCTCAAAAGAGACGAATTGGAACCGCGACGACCATTTTCCTACCAACAGTGATAAGGAAACGCGTTCCGAAGGTCACAAGATGACGTGTGTGAGTCCAGAAACTTAGATACGTTAAATGGAAATAACCGACACGAACAACAGAAATTGTTCCCCAAATTGCAGTGCAGATCCTGCTTGGCGGTTTCGTTGATAAAGGTATAAAGGTGAGGCCGTGAATGTACGTCCGCATGTTTCGTCTCCGAAACGTCGCATTTAACGAAGGTCGATGAAAAAATATGTACTCTTCATTCCTTTCACAATGTAGTAAGAAAAGTGCTCGTACTCTCTAGAAGTAGGACCAACTAGTAAAGGTAAAGTTGTCCCTGTGCTTAACAAATTAAGCACTACGCCATGAAGACGTATTGGGAAGTGGGTGTATAGATCCACATTTTTCGACCATGGCACTAGTTAGAGGTTAGTGGTCAGCTTCACGCCCCGGCCGCTTTACCCCCAGGGAAGAGCCCCCTGTGCCCATTGTATAGAAGGTTGGGTGGACCGCAGAGCCGGTCTGGACGCTATGGAGATGATAAAGTTCTTGACCCTACCGGGACTCAAACTCCGGCTCCTAGGACCAACTGGGTGTTTAGAAATTCCGTCCCTCTTTCAAGACGTTTACCAAAATCGACAATAACAGCTTAGGAAGAAAGAGATGAACCTTCATTATGCACGGAGGCAGCCTGACCCGCGTACTTTCGCTTACCCACATTAACCATGCCAACATGGCAGTACTGCGAATTCGTGAATTAATTTAAATTGAGGGGGGAAAATCTCGAAGTTTTTAGATAATCTTTTGTATACGATTTGAAATTTGCGTTTTTTTAAATCGACAACTGATGTGTCACTTAGTAACATAAACTTGGTTATGAAAAACTCCCTGTCCCTCATGGAACAAGGTTCATTACCGTGTTTACAAGAGCTCGCCACTGGATTCTGTTTTGAACTTGGGGAATACATTACACACCCTCATAATTATTTCTACAATACCCATTTTAATATTACTGTTACGTTTGTGCCTGTGTCTCCCAAGTGTCTCCTCTCGTCAGGTTTTTATTGTGGGCCTAATCTAAATAATAAGAATTCCAGAGTTTGATGGATGAGACATTTTTTACCTAATTCTCTTGTTTTAAGAAAAAATTAGGCATATGAGATTACCATGCTGCCTGTGTGTCTGAAATCCCCTCTAATAACTTTTTGAAACCTGAGCCAGTCTTTACGAAACTTCGTACGTATATCACGACACCTGAGCTCATCTCAACGGAGTACCTCATAAATCCCTCCCATTAGTATGTGTCTTGTGTGTGTTGCGCCCTCTAGTTGCTAGGCAGCGGTTCGGTGTGAACGTTACAGCGGCAACGAATACACATGCAACAATAGAAGAACTGCTGGATAGATCGTAACAAATGAAAGCAGGCAATCAGTTCTTCCCATAACTTATGTACGCGTGCGCGCGCAGGCACAGCTGTGGAACCAGTCTCTAGTGAGAACAATGTAGAAAGGCTTCTAAGCTTTGTAATTATTAATTTAAAATTTACGACAGCCTCCGTCCTACGGAGATGGCAGTTAACAAAGAGAAGTAAGCGTCATCATGTCTTCCCGGAACTTATTTTTATAGAATGACTAACTCCACGGAGCCGAGTCCTGCTTGAGAAGACGCCAGTCGCTCAGCTACTCAAGGATTTGCCAAACATTTTTTTGGAACCTGAAGGTTCATTGCTGTGTTCACAAGAGCATGTCACTGGTCCCTCTCCCAAGCCAGATGAATCCAGTCCATACCACCCCATCCTGTTTCTCTAAGATCCTAAAATTAATTTCCATTAAGAGACTCTACACAGGACTGCGCCAGTACTGAAAGTGGCAGCTGTCACTAGTAACAGCTATCAGTAAATAGATCCATCTTCTATCTTATCTTGCAATCATTTCATTGATTATCAACTAACTCAGCTTACTGAAAGCAGACGTAACATTGTTAAGTGATACTGTTTGCTGCTAGTCGAGTCTTCATTAGAAATCAAAAATGCCTTCGTGGCAATTTTGCAATACGAAATGTTCTTGCATTGTGGAATGCTTATATAACAGAACTGTTCGATGGCCGGATCGATAGACAGACATTTTCTTGGATTATTTAAAAGACGCTTTTAATGACGAAACTGTATACCATCAGATGGTGGGATAACAAATGAATGATGAATTTTAAACGTATCCAATTGATGTTTTGGGAATTTTCCTGGGGGGGGGGGACTGAAGTGAACCACAGTAACTCTCAGGATAGCCGGTGTCCAGACTTAGGTTTGAACCAGCACCTCCCGAATGGAAGTCTAAAGTGATACCTTTAGACCAGCCTTACCCTTTTTTACCATCCCATTTTCCGATGCTGTACGCAGCTCAAGTGGCAATAAAGCGAAGTTCAGTTAGCCGCAATTAAATGTTGTAAACATGTCGAAGTTCAGTCTGAGTACAGTCAGTACAATTACCGGTCGGTTGTGGACTGAAAGACCGGTAGGATATCCAGTTGCCTGTGTAGGAAGGATTCTTTATTTTCGTCATCATGACCAGTCCGCCTCGGTTTCACCCCGCGTTGTACATTTCACTGTAGGGCCAAGTAGGCGAAACATGAAGCTAACCAACTACAGTCAGACCGCAATTTAATGGTACCTGGTATCAGCCTTCAGCGTTGTCTGCCTCGAAGTAGAAATGGCCGACAGATATATGTTGGCCGGGCACGTTACCAGTTGCACGTTTCCTTTGATCGGCTAGACACACCGGAATGTACTTGTATCGCTGCAGACTTGCAACTGCTCTTTTCGGCGTCTGGTGTTGAAGATCTGACAATAGTACTAAATTCTTCCGCCAGAGATGGGTTTGCTACGTCACACACAGACGGGGTCAGCTGTCAGCTTGTAGTTTCGAGATTGTTAACGCGTGGAGTCCGGCCACTTTACCCTCTATACGCCTTCTTGGCGCCGTACTTATGCAGTGAGGCAAATTTACTTTTCTAAATGAAAGTACGACAGTGTACACAAATTACATTGTGAGTAAGATAATGCCCCTGTACAGCCTTCACTTACAGCACGGCAGCGCATGAGTCACTGTTTGTCCATGGAAATAACCATAACTGCCAGTAGCGGGGATGTGCAAATGTACATAGTTCCGGATTTCGTAATATGAACTAATTTGTCGCTTATTAGATTCAGAGACGATGTTTATGGAATGAAGGTAAATATGTGCTTAGGAGGGAGCGATACAGTCGGGAACATTCCAACAAGCACGTNCTTTCTTCAGAACAAAAGGAAGTCACGAATTCTATTGGTAATAAAGTACACGCATATAGTCACATATTGTAAATGTTTTAATGTCATTAATACAATAATTGGTCCATTTTTCATTTATTTCCTCATTTATTCCTTTATTTTCTGTGTTCTTTCCTTTTCCCTCTTTTAATTCTTTCTTCTCCCTCTGCAACCTGTACCTCCGAGCCCGCGAAGCCTTCAGTCACTGAGGTCCCAGACCGATGACGAGAACGACTTCAGATTATGAGTTTATCATGTAATCCACTGCTGACACGTCACTTTGGTCTTCAGGTCAGGCACCGCAACAGGGGCCATGGAGCGCGACCTCCATGCGAGGGACCGGGTCGGAGTGCAAGATTTCGTCTTGCTAGAAAACTTCCAGAGCGAAGATGCCTTCGTGGACAACCTTAGGAAACGATTCAAGGAAAACCTCATATACGTAAGTATACGCTCATCGTCGCTAGGTTTCCTGGCATGAAACTAACTTGGCTGAATACTCTGCCATAAGGATCACGTGGGGCAATTCCCGTGGACAGTTCCACGAACTAAGGAGGTTGTCTTTGTTGTTGCTGCTCCTGCTACTACTACTACTAGTAGTATTGTTACTACTGGGTCGGGGTTCGAGTCCCGGTAGAGTCAAGAATTTTCTCTTCTTCACGTCGTCCAGACTGGCTCTGGGGTCCCACCCAACCTCATATCCAATGGGTACCGGGAGGTAAAGCGGCCGCGACGTGAAGCTGGCCACTCACCTCCAGCAAGTGCCGAGGTCAAGAAAATGTGGATCTATATACATCTATTCTGCCCTCTGCTTTGCTCACAACTATTCATAAACTGTGAAAGAAATCTTTTTTGGGAACAGCACTGGTCGGTGACACTGGCTTGGTGGTTGACCACCTGAGAACACCATATACCAGTGTCTTAATTACTTACATACTTACTTACTTACTCATGGAGCTGAGCTCTTCTGGAGAAGCCGCCAATTGTGCAGCTACCCAAGAATTTCTCAGCATTTTATGGAACCCCAAAGTTCATTACAGTATTCACAAGAGCCCTCCACTGGTCCCTATCTTGAGCCAGATAAATCCAATTCATATCATCCCATTCTGTCTCTCTAAGATCCATTTTAATATTGTCCACCCACCTACGCCTTGGTCTTCCCAGTGGTATATACCAATGCCGGCAACACTAATTATGATTTGATTTGGATGGAAGCCCATTTGAGACCAGTATGAGCCACGGTTATGATTATATCGTTCCAGCAACTGATCATTCGTTTCCGTCACCCTTATTCTTGGCCAATCACAATTCGGGACAGTTTGTTACTATATAAACCCTGCTACACTACACTTTCGACATTTCGGCGTTGAGGACACCGCGCTCAGAAACGTCAGTAAGTTTATCACCTTGACAATATGCGATAAGCAGCAATCTGCAATACATATCGACTGTCTCGAACACTCCATGTCTCACGCTTCGCTCAAGGCCACCGCCATCTGTCAGCATAAACTTTGAATATAAAATTAGGGCAAATGGAAAGAACAAATCGCTAAGGCGGAGAAATACTGCTTTGTCTTTTTTATGTTCTCAGACGTACATCGGACAAGTGCTGGTCTCTGTCAACCCCTACAAGAACCTCAATATCTACACTCAGGAAGAAGTAAACCAGTACCGCAACATACACTTCTTTGAGGCTCCACCACACATGTGAGTCCATCTGTATGAATGTCTGTGAACCACTTCCATCTTATACTAAATTTGGTTTAACCTTTACCATGCTCTGCATGAAAAGTATTTCTGGTATTACATTATTTAGCTCTGGACAAGATTTCTGAAAGAAACTTTCTCCATCTTGTGTTAATTAGTCGATAACATTTGTGGCTTTCCGCTAATATAAATTATTTTTCCAATGGAAAAAAAAGCCCTACAGGCCTACTGCCATAAGTCTTATTAAATCTTAGTGTGGGGCTCAAACCACCAACTTCATCGCACGATACGTGGACCTCATGTTAGTCTTGCAAAATGATATATACTTTGATTGGTGAATTGATCATTAGATCGCTAAACGACACGATTTTAACTAGAGACGTTATGCGCCAAACACACGCGCATGGCTAACTGTAGACTAGGTTTGGATTTAATGACTACTTCAACGCACGACTCGTGACTACACTTAATTAGAGCGCCATAGCCAATCTCCACACTTTACAAATCACCAGAGCATACAGACTAGTGTTCTCAGTCTGTTACACTCTCCACTAGTCGTTTCCTGGTAACGATTTCTAACAATTGAGATTCTTCAACTTCTGTGCTCACATTATTACTACCCGGCGAATATCCCACAACTCTCATTGCTTCAGCTGACTAACTCAGGCGGCCATCTCACACCAACATCCTAGTCTTCGCTTCTAAACCTGTCTCGGTTATAATCTCTTGGCACGGACCACGTAGAAGACGCCGTTTTCAGCAGTTCCTCTATTGTCGCGCCTGTACCTGTTTGTTTCGTAGCCGATACCTAGTAACGGGTCGACACGCTACAGTATGAATCACAATGAGGACGCACAAGTTCATTACCGTATTTACCAAAAGGCCGACAATGAATTATATACCAAGCCAGTTGATGTAACCCACATCCTTTATGTAAGATTTGAGGTTTTCACGTCGGTGACTATGAAAAAATGCCGTCTTCTGGGATGTGGCGCCGTGTAGATCCTGTGTGAACGGACGTTTCGGAGGAACGTATCTTCAGGGTAGAGCGAGGAATCAGCTTGAGCAGGTGGCAGCACTAAATGCACGTAGGTACGAATATTTACCCCTCGGTGACTCACAGCCGTTTCCAACCCCCAGAGCTACAGCCAATCACTTTACTGACCGAGCTTGTGATTTAATCTACCTCACAGTACGGTTTCCCCTGTATATAAGCACCACTCATGACCTAACAGTGATATCGGCACAGCACTCTGGCCGTCTTTGCACCACAACAGAGCTTCGGAAACTACCAGAGAGGAAAGGAGAAAGGGCTGTTGAATCTAAGATAACTCAAACGTCCGTAGCGGGAATCGAACCCTGTCATCCAGATCGTAAGCAGTAATTTTAAAATTCCCCACTCATCCAACAATATATTTTTGTAATTTCGGTTGGGTGTGTTCAGTTGTCCCGCCACCGCAGCTGCCGGTGTGTCTACGGAACTGCGTGTTTCAGTATGTGTTCAAGGCAAGCGGAGTAAACACGTGGCGACTAGGATGACTCACAGAAATGTCAGGCATGTAGGGTGTACGCTGTGACTCAACTTACGTCAGTAATTAACATACAAATCGAGAGACCGAGCGATCGAATCGGATATGCAGCATGCAGGGGGGAGATAAGAAATGCATAGAGAATTTTAGCCAGAAAACCATAAAGAAAGAGAACAATTATTAAGATACTACAAGAAGCACGCGTAGACAGACGGATTACATTAGAATTGGTCTTACGTGTATAGAATATGAGGGTGTGAACTGAATTCAAATGGTGTAAGACATGGTAACTTGACGTTCTCTTGTGAACACGGCAATGAACCTTGGGGGAATTACAGTGGACTCTCGAACTTGGAACCGTTTGATATTCGAAAAACTTGAAACTCGAGGATAAAATCTGAGGAAAATCCGGTTTTGAAACTCGAACAAAAACTCGAAAGTGGAGCAAAGAATCACATGGTGGTCACGTGGTCGTCACGCCTTGTAGAGAAGTGGCGCCCCAATATCGTAGTTGTGAACAGGAGTACCAACCTGTTTAATGGCAATGTAATGCAATATTTCAGGAAAAGAAAATTTAAAATAGACAGATGGTAACGTTAATGAACCACAACTCTCAACTAGTGGACTGCAGATGATAGAAGGGGAATTCGCCTTCCAGCGAACAGTAATATCCCTCCTACTAGTATTACTGAATGATTATACAATATTTTTATGTACTATTATAAATAAAAACATTCAGTTATTGAAATTAAATATATTTATTTTATCATTATTTACCAATATGTTCTTTTGAAATAGGCACTTAAAATGTTTTATACTGCGTAAATTTTTGGGGTCTGGAACGGATTAATTCAATTTACATTATTTCAAATGCGGAAATTTAACTCGAAAGTCGAACCGTCTCCTGGAATGAGTTGTGTTCGAAGTTCGAGGTTCCACTTTACTTAACCAGCTGAGAGTGCTTTTCAAGAGGAACTCAGATTCATGGAATTAGTTACGCGCTGAATGCGAAGATTAAGTCACTGAAAATGAGAAATAAAAACATATATAACTGCTTGACCAGTTGTGAACTGTGTAGCAATTCAAATGAAGGCGAAAGCAGAATCTCCGAGCATTCTAAACCTCGGCAGTAGATGGAGGTAGGGGGGTAACTTGACGAGCCAACAGCTCTATCCCCGAGAAGGAAGCATGGGGTACTTATTGTCTGCGGTGTATGTCATGATGGTTGAGTGACTGACACCCCCGCTTCCTATACGAAATGTCTGGGGTTAGATTATTTGCCCTACGGCCTGCTATTCTGACTGGGAGTCATGACCTTCCCGAGAATACTTGACAGGTGACTGTTAAATTTATGTTACGGTCGCTCGAGTTTTGTGATATAATTACCATCATTTGTCTTTCTTATTCGTGACGTATGTGTCTTAAATCTAAACTGAGATCAACCCTCTGTATTGACGCTTATCATATTTTTTTTAGTCCCCTCAAATAAATGCTAGATAGACTACTAGGTCCGGAGATAGGGACTATCTCTATCTATTGGGCCCAACTGAGTAGGTTTTACCTGAGGACGGAGACAGAATCCAGTCTCCGAAACGTTATGTTTTGAAAAATAAACAGGACGGCTTTTAAATATAGACAAGATGATGGATAATGTCCAAAAACATGAGACTTGTAGCAATGTATCATCTTATAAGACTACTATGAAGATGGAAAAGCACAATATACACTGTAGGTCGATGTTGCAAGGGCCGAGAAGATTCATGAAGATGGAAGCAGCAGATTCTTCCGAAACGTTGATAGCCATGTATCAAATTACGTGGTGTCGCATCTCAGAAGATAGTAATCTTGATACTTCCAAGAACCGCAAATTTCGCAATTTCTGTTTACTTGTTCTGTTGTTCACTAGAAAATATATCTTCATAGCGCATTTGCCCAACGCGCGCATTTCATTTCTGGTTCTCATTCATTCATTCATCAGTAATCTCTCAAGACGACAGGTCCACAGTCTCTTCCAAAACAGTTCCTCCATTTAATGCGATCTAGAGCTTTCACCTTCAAATGAGAATATCCTCTTCTGGCCCCAAGGTCATCCAGCATCTTACGTCTTCTTCCTCGTCTTCTGGTCACTTCTATCCGCCCCTCTATCTTTCCTTCAATAACTTCTTTCAGAAGGCCGTTACCGCGTAAGATATGACCAATCCAATTAGCCTTCCGTTTTCTTATTTCGTGTAGGATATTCCTCTGCTCACTGACTCTAAATAACACTTCTTCATTTCTCATATAATCGGTTCTGGTTCTATCGTCAAGTTTTTATTGTAACATTGATTTATGTTGTATGGGTAAACATTTTTAGGCACTGTATCAGTGTTTCACATCCCAGGAAACAAAACTTCACGAGGAAAGCGAACAACCATTTAAACTGCGCAAAAATACAGGCTTCTGCACCAAAATAGCCACAATAAGGAGCCGTAGTCCAGTAGAAAGTGTTTCGCATGAAATCCGTACCTTGGCACAGTTTTCAGTTGCACAGAAGTCAGCAGGATAAACTCGTAGTGTATGATCATGAACTAAAATACGTAACTCAGTCAGCAGACTTCCTGGCCATGCGATGGACGCCGTGGATTCGGTACACGTCACGAACAGGATTCAGTGTCTACCATCAAAACTGAACCGAGGAGGTTAGTTGAGGCGGTGCTCGTTTAGAATCTCAGCCAAAACAGCAATCATTCTGACTGAAGATTTTCGTAATTTTCCTCAGTACCTATAGGCAAATTCCGGGAAATTGCTTAAAATTAGGCCACAATCGCATGGAATCTCAGCATCAGTTTATGAAGACCCTCCAACATAAAAACAAACTCCATGGCTTGAGTCCGCAAGCGAAATATACCGACCGAGCGACCGCCGCTTGTCGGCTAAGTTACTGCCAACTTTAGCGGATAGAGGGTGTCGCGTGGCCAGCGCAACGAATCGCCACGGCCGTTAATTTCGGTTTTCTAGACCGGAGCCGCTATTTCCTTGAAATGGCTGTTCAATTATCCTCGCGAAGCTGAGTGGACCCCGTTCCAGACCCACTGTTTCTCAGGACATATGGTAGCGCCGGGAATCGAACTCGGGGCCTCTGGATCTGTAGCCAGGAACTCTGACCATTAGACCAAAAGGCGGTCAAAAAATAAAAAAAAAAAGAAATAGTTTGACAGCTGGGGCACCAGGTTAAGCAACGCGGTGCGTGGTTAAGAGTTGGATAGGTGACCGCCCTCCTACTAAATAATAAACCAGTAGGAAGAGGAACAGATTTGAGAGACTCGTATAAATATCAGTGACACATGGTCGTTCACTACATCGAACCTGATCATGGAGACCGAGGAGATCTCTGAAACGTTGGTGTTTAGTTCAATACTGACGCGGCTGATCGCCCGAGAAAATTCTAGCGTATTCATCCGCCGGGAAAGCTTCAAACCTTAATCCTTCTGCTCCTTTGCCATTCATTATTCACTATGTTCCAGCCATTCTACGCTATGCACTTTGCGTTGCTGACGGCGCCATTAAGTAATGCACAGATGACTTAATGAATCACCTTCTACAGTCTCCCAACAGCGAATTTTCGCAATTTAAATTGGCCAGTGCGTGGCGCTGAGCGCTCAGTTTCATCTGATGCCAAGCCTATAATGAAAGGAGCTCTACCGTTGCGCCCCCCACAGTACCCCTTGACGGATTGATTCTTGGTTTACTTTACGACGCTTTTTTAGCTGCTGTCTGTATAGCCGTGGCTAATAATACAAGTTCAACCGTCAACACAACAACTTTGATTAATTTGGGTTACACTACATGTTTCGGCCCCTAAAAGTTCATCTACAGGTGTTTCTACACATTATTACGTCACTGGATTGCAACGTGTAATAATGTGTAACTAGAAACATCTGAAGATGACCCTTTAAGGGTCGAAACATGTAGTGTAACCCAAATTACTCAAAGTTGTTGCGTTGACGATTGAACGCGTATAATTAGTTGTACTTACGCAACAGGATACAAACAATAAGTATTTAAAAAATGATTGTGACCGATGTGGAAGGAAGGAGTCATTTTGTTTTAAGGTGGTTTAATATTTATCTCAAGAGACTGGGGAAAACACCAGAAACTTGTCCAGAGTGGCTTCTCTCGGGGACGAAAGTCGAACACAGAACTTCCAACATACGAGTCAGGAGAACTAACTACACGACTGCAATACTATACAGTACGAGTATATGCCTTCATGGTATTATGGTCATTGGACAGCTTTCCCTTTGCGTGATACTACAACTAATTAGCATTGATAATTTGTACACTTAATCCTTCCATCCGCACTATGGTCCTGGGATCGACTCAGCCTCTAACAGAAATGAGTACCAGGAATATTCTTGGAATATCCTCGGGGGTGAAGGACGGCCAGCGCGTAAGACTGACAACCTTACCGCCATCTATGAGCCAATTGTTTAGAAAATGTGGGAACCTCAACATTCAGAACCCTATGGGCCTCCAAGGCCTGTTACAGGGATACCTTTACTTTACTTTTAATACATGCCTATTACAAGAGACGAGAGGTTACACTGTCGTCAAATGGCTGTCATAAATTCTCCTTTGTATTGTCTCTAGATGCAGACTAATCAAAAGAGAAAAACTGAGTTACGAAGAGCAAGTGAAAGTGGCATGTGGGTTAGGATTTAGCTCGTGTAACTTCTGTTTGGCAACCAGGTGCTGTATTAACCGAGTCATCGTGTGGTAACCTGATGTGGCCTTGACATTATTTGCGGACTTCACTGGACAATAAATTATATACAGATCCGTACATGGAACACTGAAATGTATGTACAGCGCAGAGGAATAGCACATGATACAAAGATAGCACTGGGCTTGTACAGGTACGAGTGTAGCCGGCTGGTTTAGAGGTAACACCTGGGACTTGTATAGATATAGCACACGGCAGGCAAATCACGGCCAATGGGCCAGATCTTGTCCGCTGCAGCTTTTTCTTCGGTCCTCGGAGTCAGCGTGACATCTTTCTAACATTTACTTCTCCATTTAGTTTAAATTAAAAAAATCTCCAGGTTAAATTGAATTGACACGAACTACAACACATTAAATTCAACAGAACTAGAGGGTATTTTTTTAATTGCTAGTGGGGTGGGACTAAGTCCCTTTTACTGTGGCCACTTCTGGCCTATTGTACCAGCCCCAAGATGACTGTGGAGCAATTGGTGGAATGAAGATTGGCAGGGGAAACCGAAGTACTCGGAGAAAACCTGCCCCAGCGCTACTTTGTCCACCACAAATCCCACTTGACCAGACCCGGGATCGAACCCGGGCCGCCGCGGTGGGAAGCCAGCGACTAACCGCTTGAGCTATGGCGCGGCCAAACTGCGAGTGCAGAAGCAGCGCCCTTTCATGTACGAGTGCGGAGGTACAAACTGTCGGTCCATTGATGGTACGCTCCGTGTAGTTGACGTTACGTAACAAACCTTTACCCTATTAGGCGCGCAGCAGCACCTACGTACTTCCCCACGTTCTAGGCGCAGCTCAAATTCGGTCGGCAGTTATGCAAAACTCCGCAGGAAACATTTAACGTAGACAGAATAGAGATAGGGACGTACTCTTACAATGCTGATTTTGTTTAGGGTAACTGCGACATTCGCAGCTGTTGCTAGTCAGCTGAACGCTTTTGTTCAGTGAAATAGTTGGGAATCGGCATTTAATAAACACAAAGACATAGTGTCGACAATACAACAAACAAACTCCGTGGCCTGTAGTCCGCAAGCGAACTATACCGACCGAGCGACCGCCGCTTGTCGGCGAAGTTAGTGCCAACTTTAGCGGATAGAGGGTGTCGCGTGGTCAGCGCAACGAATCCCCACGGCCGTTATTCTGAGTTTTTGTAGACCACAGCCGCTGTTCCCTTCAAATGGCTACTCAGTTATCCTCACAAGGCTGAGTGGACCCCGTTCCAGACCCACTACTTCTCAGAAAATCTTATAGCGCCGGGAATCGGACCCGGGACCTCTGGATCTGGTGTCAGGAACTCTGACCACTAGACCACAGAGGTCGACAGTACATTCTTAATAAGTGTGAATAGTTATTTTTGTAAAATGAGCATATAAAGGCAACAAAATGTAGACAGTGAGTGCCGCATATGCAACAGAGAGTGGAAAGAACAATACTTTTTTAAAAATGTAGTATTTATTTGATGTATTTCTGATTGGCTGCTCAGTATCCACATATTTTCCAGCCCCAAACAGCATTCTTTTTCAGAAAATCAAGACTACTATGTCATTTCTTCTTCAGATGCAAGAACAAGGAAAGCCAAAGAACTAAGTTGAATATTGGGGGGGNGGGGGGGGGGAGGTAACATCTCAAAACTAGTTCCAGGAAGCAGCTGACTCAGACAATTTTTAAGTGATCTTTAACCGAACTAGGCATAATAAACCAGTGGTGAAACAGCATATGGTGGGTGTAATGTAAGGTAAAGTTGTCACTGTGCTTAACGAATTAAGCACTACACCATGGAGACATGTTGGGGTGAGGTTGTATAGATCCACGTTTTCTTGACCTTGGTACCAGCAGAGGGTGAGTGGTCAGCTTTAACCCCAGAGGAAGAACCCGCGGTACCCATTGGATATGAGGCTTAGTGGGCTCCAGAACTGGTCTGGACAACGTGGAGAAGAGAAAATTATTGACCCTACAGGGACTAGAACCCCAACCCCTCAGCTAAAATAAATTTACACATTTTTCTACTCTACAAGGAGTGTACATGAGTTCTGTTGTGGCTAAATGAGATACTGTTCTTAGCAGACTATATAAAGAATTCTGTATATGACTTAAATATTTCAAGGAAGTAGAAAATGAAATCGAAATGCTGTTATTATATTGTTATTACACAAACATTACATGACTTATGTATATCATTAAGAATTTCAGCTTCTATTTGAAATATTTTTCAGTGTGGTGATTATTTAAAAGAAACACAAACATCGTTTATGACTCAGCACAGTCTGGAATTTATTGTACAATTTATTTTTGAAACCACAGACTTGCAACGAATGAACACAAAGACAAATGAGAAACGAAAAATCCTAGAAAACACTTCTCTAATTTAGGTGTACTTCAAATCATCATATTACCTTTTCACTCTTGCTACACTATTACTGTTAGAACGGAATCCATTTTGGAACTTGTATATGTAGATCAACTTCACAGTTCCTTTTCTTAGCAGTTAACATGAGATGTGGTTTTTCTTTGTGCATGTTTTAGATTTGCAGTGTCTGACACAGCATACAGGTCTCTGACAGAAGAAGGCAGAGGACAATGCATCCTCATTTCAGGTTCGTACTCACAAAATTTGTATCACTATAATGGTTTTTTCATTGATAGATAGACAGTAATAATAATAATTCATGGGCAAATTCACTGTTAGAAGGTAAACCTACCAATTAGCCACAAAGAGGAAAAATGTGCTGTGACATTTGTAGCAGGTTTTAAGAAACAAATAAGCGCGTGTTTGCCTCTCTGTATGTGCATGCATGTGTATGTGTGCGCACACAAGAGTGTATTTGTATGAGAGCAAGTAACAGAATTTTTCTATGTGACTTTATTTTTATATAAACTGTAACAGTTCGTGTGATGTGGATCGCCCCTGATAAAGATAGTTTGAAATATGTCAGGTAAAGTAGAAAACTTATATTGTCTTATTGGTGCAGCTGTGTAATATTCCAGTTCCAGTAATGTAATGGCATGTTTCAAATTTAAATCTATATGTAGCAAGAATGTTTTTCATTAACCTATTAAGCTGATTTTATCACACTTTTTAACATTCATACAGAAAATACAATTTTCTTCCTCCCGCCTCTCTTATTTGTATTGACTTTTTTATATTTTGTTGACATACTTTTGCTGTTCACATAGTTTCCTTATTCTGTTCATTTAGTTAGTCTTCCTGCCAATTAAAATTCTGCAAATTCATAACTGAACTTAAAGATTATCATTATTAGTGTCATCACCATCACCACCGCCACTGCCTCCACCGCCACCGCCACCGCCACCAACACCACCACCACCACCACCAACACCAACACCACCACCACCACCACCACCACCACCACCACCACCTTGATGAAATCTCAGGATTTTCAGTAATTCATGCCATTGCACAATGTCCTAAGCTTGATCTACATATGTTTCTGCAGGGGAATCTGGTTCAGGAAAGACAGAAGCATCAAAGAAAGTCCTGCAATTCATTGCTGCAGTAACAGGCCACAAAGCACAAGTGGAGACAGTTAAAGACAAACTTCTGCAGTCTAACCCAGTGCTGGAAGCATTTGGCAATGCTAAGACCAACCGCAATGACAACTCAAGTCGCTTTGGCAAATACATGGACATTTCATTCAGTGCACTGGTAAATAGGGAAACATGTTGTGTATGAACATAAAAGGCAGGGACAAAGTGTTGCATTTTTGTTACATGTGTAAAAAGTTGAACATATTTTCTCATGAATATCTTTGGAAATTAATATAATTCTATAGTGAAGTGTACTTTTCAATGTGAAGTTTATTCTGCATAAGATATCAGACCAAAAAAGTATTACAGAGTCTTTCCTTTGGAACCTAATGACTTAATTTTATCAATTTCCTTCACTGGCCCAGAACCTGTCCTTGCATTGCTATGTGCTTTACTTTCTGTCACCCTTGCAAAAGCGCTGAGTCAACTTATTTTCACTAAAGTTTGAAACAGACATGATGATAGAACAGTAAAAAATTATGTTCACAGCTATACGATGTTACTATTGTTTGTTGTTCCACTCAAACTTATCACAAATTGTAATGCTCGCAATATTGTGCAACTGATCTAGTATTGAAGAGTACAGTCTCCTGGGTTGTAACACTGTGTAATTCAAAGACAGCCTGACATCCATGGGATCATGTTACCTCCATCTTCAGTGCTGAAGAGGAAGCCAAGCAAGAAGCCAGCAGAAGCAACAGGCAAGCTATATTCCCCCAAAATATTGGGCTGCCTCCAAACTACACAGCATTATAACCCAGAAGACCATACTCTTCATAGTCATTGCCATACTATGTATTTATTGCAGAATTTCACTTGTTAATAACATACATGGTATTTCAGTGGTATAAGTTCAACAGCAGTGTTTCAACCATGTGACTTGGAAATGTAATACAATACCAATAGCAAAGTTTGAAGAACAGTGAATGATCATAGTTCTTGTCACCTTGTAACATTCATTGCTACAGTGCAACTGATTGTCACCTGCCAGTCCATCAGACTTTTACTATACTTTACAAAGAAATATGGCTCAAGACAGGGTGCACCGGTGGGCTCTTGTGAATATAGTACTGAATCTTCAGGTTCCATAGAAGGTGCAGGATTTCTTGTCTACCAGAGAGTATTTATTTCCAAGAAGGACTCTGCTTCATGGACTCAGTAATTCATAATACAGAAAGAACTGCTTTCTTCTTTATGCAGGGTAGTCCAGTTGGAGGAAATATCCTGAATTACTTGCTTGAGAAGTCGAGAGTAGTCCACCAAAACCCTAGGGAACGGAATTTCCACATATTTTATCAGCTCCTAGCAGGTGCAGAAGATGAAATGCTTGCCAAGCTCCAGCTGAAGAGAAATCTGGACACATATTACTACTTCACTCATGGTGTAAGTTCCTAATTGACAAGTAACAGAAAACTTTATCAATTCTGTTAAATGAGACCGTTGCTAAGCATCACCAAATTACCAAATTACAATACAGTTCAACAGCTTTGCAGAGAATCCTGTTTCACCATTCATATTCAGCCTAATCTGATGACTGCAGTTTAATTCTTGCAAAAGTGTACCCCATCCATTAGAAGTCAATTTCCAGAGAATGTGTAATACATATAAGCTGCTGATTCTCACATTGATTTCCAGGGCTCCACAGGTATCCATGCTGTAAAGACCCAATGACATTCTTACTTTCTCATGTTCATAGTATATGTGAAAAATGGTTGTGATGAAAAAACTGATCTTGAGATTTTGACAGATTTACACTTTTTGAACTCCCACCCTGAATAAGCAGGGCACATGGTAATGTAGTAGGTTGAGGTTAAACTGGAAAGTCACAGGTTCAATTCCCTGTCATTGGATTTTTCAATTGACCCAATCCTTCCAGCCACACTGTGGTCCTGGAATCAACTCAGACTCTAATGGAAATGAGTACCAGAGTTTTTCCTGGGGGTAAAGTGCAGCCAGCACATAAGGCTGACAACCTTACCACCATCTGTGAGCTGATTGTCTAGAAATTGTGGGAGCCTGGATGTCTCACAACCCTATGGGACACCACGGCCTGTTGCAGGGATAGCTTTACTTTTTTTACCTTGCCCTGAATAAGCAAAAGTCCTATTTGGAATGCTGTCTGTCTGTATGTCTCTATATGTATGAATGTGCATCACACTAGCACCTTAACTGTTCAATAAATTTTCTTCATATTCGGTATTTTAGGGTTCATTTATGCCCATGCACATGCATTATAGAAAATATGATGTGATTTGTGTGGTTGATGCAGGTTGAAGGGAAGGTGAACACAATTGATGATTGTCAGCAGTTCCAGCAAGTTAGGAAGGCTATGGCAGTGATTGAGTTGACAGAACAGGAGCAGGAAGACATATTTGCCATTGTTGCCAGCGTGTTGCACATGGGCAATGTAGGCTTTACAGAGGAGGAAGGCCAAGCCCAGATCCTTAAACCTGAGTGTGTTGAAGCTGTTTCGAAGGTAACAAACAAGCATGTTCTGTAAGTAAAAAGTAGTAAAATAGTGAGGTGGGGGATATGTAATAACAATTTTCATCAATCCTATCCATAAAATATTTTTGGATGAATTAAAAATTAAAGTTATATTTTTATGCAGTGTTCAGAAAATTAAATAAAATTAAAATGTAATGGAGGTATTTCTCTGTCTAGATGTTTCATCACTTAACTGTGGTGAAATTAGGTACTGGAAGTTATTGAGGGAACTTGTTATTTTTGGTTCATATCAATTCAATACTTTTTGTGTTGCTGACATCATAATTTATCATTTTTTATATGTATTGAGAGAGAGCTGGGGGGGGGTGATGAGGCTTATGATATCACCTTGCTGTCTGTCTGTGTCCCCTCCTATTCCTTGCTAGGCAGTGGGCCATATGTGTGTGTGTCTTGTCTATCTGTCTGTCTGGTAAATTACTGCTGGACCTTACCAGCACAGCCATTCTTGGTTCCTGTGCCCAGGACTCATGGTCATAGTTTAATGTCTCACAACTGTGGGAGTCATGCAACTCATCTGTGTGTCTGTGTCCCCGCTCCTAACTTGTTCGTTTTCTGTGTGGTCTGTGTCATATCTAAGGAAAGTAGGCAGTTAATTCTTCCAAGAACTTCTTGCTGACCATGTATATGTTTGGTTACTGGCTACAGGCTGATTGAATAGTTTGCATCCAAACAGGAGCAAAGGTTACTTTTGCCTCCATGTCCAGACCAGTTCTGGTACCCACTTGGCCTCCTGTACACATACCCGAGTTCCTTCTCAAGGAGTAAAGTGACAAGTCACCAATTTTACGTTCATCTACTGCTAAGTTTTAGAATGTGTGTGGAACTTGAGCATTATGCCCCCTATATGCCTTCGTGGCATGGTGCTTAAGCACTGGGACAACTTAAACTTTATATTTATTTGAATACAGCCACCATGTCACACAATGTACATTTTAAATCAGGACACAAGAAGTTCATTTGACAAACAAAATTTACCTCATTTCTGCTCAAAATGTTATTGTTTGTGCAGTTATTGGGCTGTAAGACAAGCAAGTTGGACAGAGCCTTCACACACCGAACTATTGATGCAAGAGGGGATGTGGTGACTTCCCCTCTGACCAGAGAAATGGCAATTTATGCACGAGATGCACTGGCAAAAGCAGTGTATGACAGACTGTTCACATGGCTTGTGATGCGACTCAACACATCACTACAGCCCAAAGAGGGTCGGAGGAAAGAGGTTATGGGAATCCTAGACATATACGGCTTTGAGATATTTGAGAGAAACAGGTGAGGAAAAGAAATTCATGGTACCCTGAGAACTGTAGTTTTCAGCTGCATTGTTTCACTGTCCTCTTCCAATTAACCTCTTCATGGTTAATGCTGTACTATTTCCAACTCAGAAGCTATTTATAGGTCTCAACTGAAAACGTCCATGGGTTTTACCATGGCACATATCAGGAAGACAAATATAACAGAGCATTCCACGCATTCAGTACTATCATTTAAAGCTCTTATCAGCAGCATTGGTATTTCTCAAACAGAATATTATGTGCAGCCCTGATTACTGTATTTATATAACTGGAATGCATGACACACAGCAGAAATTTAAATCCTAATTGTAATATGTCAAAATATCTACTAAAAGTAAAAAAAAAGTAAAGCTATCCCTATAACAGGTCATGAAGGCCCATAGGGTTGTGAGACGTTGAGGGTCCCACATTATCTAGACAATCGGCTCGAAGATGGCGGTAAGGTTGTCAGCCCTACGCGCCGGCCGCGCTTTACTCCCCAGAAAAATTATTTATTTAATTCCTGGTACTCATTTCTGTTAGAGGCTGAGTGAACCCCAGGGCCATAGTGCGGCCAGAAGGATTATGTCAATTGAAAAAAAATCCAATGACCTCATCAGTATTCGAACCCGCGACCTTCCAACTTGTAGCATAGTGCCTTAATCACTACGCTACCGCATGACTTGACGAAAATCTTCTTCGTCCTCGACACGAGAGCATCCACTTGAGGAAATCTTGATCTCACTTCCTCCATCACTCTATGTAGTGCATGACCTAGGCAAGTAATGTGCACCAATTTTGTATAAAACGACTTTATTGACTTGCCTGCTTTTACAATATATGGGGCTGCATTGATCACAAAAAGCAAGATGACGTGTTGTATACTCTCTTGCCACAGTAGAAACATCGACCTGTTGAAGAGTTTACAAATTGTGGAATGATTAACGGATTCTAGCACCTCACTCGTAAGCAGAAACACTTCACCTGGTCCGCCAATTTCCAAGGTTCCAATGATGACATTTGCCACATAGCAGGCCTCTGTATCGCAGGTCTCATCAATGGAAACGAAAATCTTCTTCCAATGCACTGTATTCCTAATCATTTCCAGGATACCATTGTAGCACTGGGAAAGGTAGTTCTTCCTGAGTGTGGATTCATCCAGGATGGAACGACCACAGTTTACTTCCAGAAAATTTTTCAGTTTTCCATTGTTCAGAGCCCAAAACGGAATATTTGCGGATGCCAGAGCATCACACAGATCTCTGAAAAAATCCGATGACTTATTTCCACCTCCAGATGAACACTGTTGCAGTAACATTTGCACAGGTTTCTTTTTGTTCGAAATTTGCACTGTTCGTATATGCTTGTCGCGGCCGATATGTTGTACCGTGAATCTTTTTTCTGCCGCTACTTTTGTGTCACACATCTTGCAGTATAAAATGTCACCATCAGTTGAAAATATATCATCTCCAAACTCAGCTACAAATTGCTTTAATGACATTTGCTCTGCTTTTGGCATTGTGATAAAATTAATCACTCTAGTGCAACCCAGAACTGAATTTTACTCACCGAGTACCTTTCCTCAACTGTATCTTTATCTGTATGGTCAAGGGCAAGGAACTGAAGACAGAAGGAGTTTTATGAAGCAAGAGATTTTGACTAGAAATATGTGTAAATAAGCAAATTGCTTTGTACAAAGAGCCGCAGTGTGAGTAGTCATCGCCGTACCCTGTTTTATGATACGTATTGTCAGCACTTCCGCGAAACGAACGGAAAGGATGGGCCAGGATTACAAGCTATTATTGTATACTATGGCCTTTGTAGAGAGCGCTTAGGAGAAAGAGAAAGAACACTTCGCTTCCATATTATTCACATTTCAGAAAACATATGAAGAAAAATTCCCTAAAATGGCCAAAAATGACAAGATATACCCTTAAAAGCCCAAAACTTACCCCCAAAATGAAAAAATGACTTTAAACCTAAAAATGTCAAAAAATGACAAACAAATTACCTATAAAATTTACATTTCTGTAACCAGCAGCTCATATTCAAGATGTATATATTTAAGAGCATTGCATAGGATACAAGGAAAAAAAGATGACATGTCATCAAAATCCGGGCCCTGGTGATAACAGTTCTGTTACATAACTTTTCAGTTTTGAGCAATTCTGCATCAACTTCTGCAATGAAAAACTTCAACAACTATTCATAGAACTGACACTCAAGTCTGAGCAGGAGGAGTATCAAAGGGAGGGCATTGAATGGGAACATGTTGAGTATTTCAACAACAAGGTCATCTGTGACCTGATCGAAGAGAAACACAAAGGTGAGTGATAGTATTAAAATGGAATTACTAATAATCAACTTGAAACCATACCAACAGTAGTGAACTACTATAAGAGACCTGCAGTGGGCAGCTTGTTTTAATGAGAGATCAGATGTTATTTTGAAGTGCACATGGATCAGAAAGCCTTGAAGTAAACATTCTGTTAATATAAATTAAATAGTTATCAGTTATTCATGCTAACTGAACATCTTTACTGCTAAAAGGAATTAGAAATGTATAAATTACTGAAATTTATAGTATTATTATTTATTGTTACAGAAACCACTGATCCCCCCCTCCAAAAGTTATGGATCCTTGAAATGAAGCAAAATATTAGCTATATAAAGACAGTTGCTTTCCTGGAATGTTTTCCTTCCAAGACTGTGACAACACGCTTACCTCGGTATTGTGAATATGAAGACATGGGGCAATTTTGAAATTTGAGCATATAAATTTGGCAAACACTGATTTTGAATTCAATTGTGACAATTCATGACACACAATTTGTCTGTGAAGAGTATAACAACTTTGTCTGCATCTAGATGTTTTTATGGGCTGTAAAATTTGGGATAATTGTCATTTGGCATATAACAGATAAACATAAGTTTCACAATCTGTCACAATTCTTTTGTGTTTTGTTTGGTTGATTCATAATGCAAAAATATTAAGAGAGGAAAAGGATTAGTCATATTACATCAAATCGAGGCACAATAGATCACTGTGGTCACGGTGCAAGGGCCAAGAAGGCCCACCCCTTATACATTCATTACATCAAATTATCGGGTACTGAGTGTTAGAACTGTCCATGAGTGGACCAGTAATCTCTCAGGCTAATAATGACCCTTCTGGGGTTGATATTTATAAATAGCTCAAGCATGAAAGCATAATGAAACTGTTTAAAGGAGCAAAAAAAATTACAGTATCATAACTGGTAGAGGCTAGCTGAAAGTAAAGGGGTATTTTAATGTTGCCATACTGCACCACATAGCCAGGTAGACCAAGATACTCCATCACTACAGTGAAACAGGCAACGAACAAAGATTAATGACAAAGATGAAACTGACAAGTAGGAACTGAAAAAAGCTGCAAAAAAATCAGTCAAGATAGTCAGAGTTCTGCCTGAATTCCAAATGTAAATAAATTTCTTGAAAATAATTAAACAGGAATAATTTCCCTCATGGACGAGGAATGTCTTCGACCTGGTGAACCAACTGACAAGAGCTTCCTTACCAAGATGAACGAGAATCTGTCAAGCCACGATCATTATATTAGCCATAGGAAGGCTGGCAAGGAACTGCAGAAAAATATGTCTCGTGAGGTAAGATTTAATTTCAGTTCTCTTTGGGAAAGAAGAATAATTTCAGCAACTACAGTTTATAGATTAAAACAAGGAGATGCTTTGTCTCTGACATTAAGGGAGGAACATAGACCGAGGGTGTTTGAGAACAGGGTCTTGAGGAGAATATTTGGACTGAAGAGAGATGAAGTGACAGGAGGTTGGAGAAAACTGCATGGGGGAGACAAGGAATGCATATAGGATATTGGTGGGAAAGCCAGAAAGAAAGAGACCACAGGGAAGACCAAGGCCTAGGTGGGTGGACAATATTAGAATTGATCTTAGAGAGATAGGATGGGATGGTGTGGATTGGATAGATCTGGCTCAGGATAGGGACCAGCGGAGGGCTCTTGTGAACGCGGTAATGAACCTTCAGGTTCGATAAAATGCTGGGAAATTTTTGAGTAGCTGCAGAATTGGCAGCTCCTCCAGAAGGGCTCAGCTCCATGAGTAAGTAAGTAAGTACAGTTTATAGGTTACATAAGACCTCATTTAGTGGAGTGGAAGGTCCATAGCTTTTTTTTTTTTTTAAATGTAGATAAAATATGTGACTGAAACCATAACATGATGCTGACTATGACAGGGGTGGGAAGATGATTATCTCCAGTCTGTGAATACATTTATTGCAGATACGAATGTACTGTTGCAAAGTTAGTGAACACTCAGACATTGCACTGCATGGTGAATTTTTCTATTAAATATATAAATGTATGAACATATAAACTGTTCCAAGCAAATGCTACATACCTTAATTAGATCTATATATTAGAAATATAACTTATACAGTAAGGCATCTTTATGAAAAATAATGACAGTTTGATAGGAACTTCACACAAAGTAGAGATTATACTGGACCTTAAAAATGCCATACTCCCAGGATGGTCACATTTAAAATCAGTGTAGCCCATGGGCAGTGCCTCACTCATCACTCGTTTTTCTGATGTGCTGTGAAACCAAGTGATATTCCTATTCGTTTTGAAAGTCCGACACCTAATGGAATTCTCCTCTGGCTTCAAGCAGGATGTAGTCACAGACAGTAAGATGATATGGACTTGAAACCCGGAGTTCACAGAAATAAGTATAATTTGTTAACTAGCCAATGATGATGAATAATCAATACTGTATTTTGTAATTTCAGGAGTTCTGTCTGAAGCATTATGCTGGAGATGTTATATACAATGTAGATGGTTTCCTAGACAAGAACAATGATCTTCTCTTCAGGGATCTTCGTGAAGTCATGTCTGAGACTACAAATTCTATCACGAAAGTATGTACTATACCTGACCGCTCATGTATGACAGTAAAAGTAGATATCATATTTTGTCATCAGGTATAGTAAGAGAATACAAATGACAGACACTGTTGACACTAAAACAGTTTTTATTTATTTATAGTTTACTTAATGATGCTGTCAGGAACCCAGACTATACTACATAGTGTCAAATTGTAGGAGTAGGGAACAATGAATTTGAAAGGATATGGAAGGACACAGTTGTGGCCTAATTTGAGGTGGTGTCTGACATTTTATCTTGAGAGACTGAGGAAATTCACAACAAACTTCATAACATCCAGTCTCCAGTCCAGGATTTGAACCCATGACTTCCTGAATTTGAAGGAGTGCTACCCATTCAAGCATGATGTTTAATAATACTGAAATAAGTATTACTACACCGCCATGATATGTCACTATTCAACAGTAATGGGATGGCTGAATAACAAACTAGATGTCACAGAATCTTCCTTGAACAGTTGATAAGTATTTGGGTGATGAATTACTCATTCCTAAGGGCCCTGAAGGTTCATAGCGGTTAGATAAACAATGTGCGAAACCAAAATAATAATAAGAAAAGTGTTTTCTGTTACATGTCATTATAACAGTCATGATTGGTTGAAAATCCCTCAGACAAAGAGACAATAATATTACATTCTTCCTAACAGGAAGTGTTCCCAGTGAGTGATGTGACAACAAAGAAGCGTCCAGATACTGCAGCGACACAATTCAAGAACAGTCTCAACCAGCTCATGGAGATCCTCATGAACAAAGAGCCATCCTACATCCGATGCATCAAGCCAAATGAATTAGATCAATCTGGTATACACACACACACACACACACACAGATATATATATATGTGTGTATATACACTTGAACATAATGCAGTTCAGCATTTCTAGAATAGGAAGTTCCACAGCTCTTAAGTATATACAAGTAGAATGACCAACAGGTAACAGTGACATCTATATTAAACTCAAGGTTTCACAGCAGTGAAGATGTAGACCGATATTTTCTGGGTTATGACACCATGTAGTTTTGTTGGTAGTTACCAATATTTCTGATGAACTTCCTGCCTCCAACTGCAGGGCAGTTATAGGCTGAAGATAGAGGTGGCAGGTACCTCTGAAACATTAGTAAACACCTACAAGACTACATGGTGTCATAACCCAGAAGATCAGAATCTATATGACATCTGTAATATTGCACACATCTCACCTTGTCTATTTCTTACAACTGAAATAAAGAAACAACAGACAACTTGTTATCTGCCCTTACACAAGTTCAAGGACTGACAGCCCATGAGTTAACATGGTGTACTACTGGCTGAATTTGAGAAATGTAATGAATTAGAGGAAACATTTATTATTTACAATGTATTATTTCAACTGACATAAAATTTCACTAATACATTATTAGAATCCATAGAACATGCTCAAACTTTGACTACTATGGTTGGAACATTCTGTTTAATGTGAGAATGTTTGCACACTAGAACTGAAAATGATAGCAGAATTCTTAGCAGATGCTACATGATTACAGAAATCAGTATTTTGATCTATTTGACTTTACTGTAGGTCCTCTTGTTTACATATAGCCAAAATATTACTGTGTCTCATCTATTAGCAGAACAGTAGTAATACAAAAAAACTACAGGGAAATCCTCATTTAATGTTCTTGATTTAGGAATTTCCTTCATTTAACATTCAACTTCAACAATCCAAAGTCAATAAGTTGGCGTCAATAAGACTTCGTTCATTCATTATTCAAATGCACAGGTCACTAAAGAAAACTTAAATAGGGATTTCACTGTACAATTTTTGTTCTATACAGTGGATAAAAATAAAGAAAAAGGCACTGTTAAGAAACATGTCAGAAAATAATTTGAATCACGATGTCTTAGATTGGAGAAGTTTTCAATTACAGTAGCACAGCTGTGTCTGCATTAATTAGAATTTCCACCCGCAGCAGTTATGTTTCTGTCTTGTTTTTCTACAGAAGACTAGAACATACTCTTGCTCCTAATTTTAGGTATCCTGAAAATTTTCAGATGTTTCTCTAAAAGTTGTGACAGTGGCTAATTCACTGTGATTATGTTGGACATTCATTTTCTGAGATATGTTTAATATTAAATGTACTTCAGACAGTGCACAGTTTTATAACTCATGGAACATCACACATATTTTTAATATATTTTCAAGATTTTAGTGTGACTATAGACAGGTTTTGGATTGATGATGGGGTTTATTGGACTCTTACACAACTCATTACTGCACTTCACAAATCACTATAGGACACACTAGGTCTTCTCAGTCTGTTATAGTCTTCACAAGCTGTTGCTTGGTAGCAACTTCCAATGGCAGACATTCCCCTTCCTCTGGGTTCCTGAACTCTCCCCAGCCTCAGCTACCAGATTCTCACAACAACAGCTCACAATGACTAAACCCCAGCAGTTCTTGAACTAACTCACCAACTGACTGACTGACTGACTAACTTCAGCAAAGTCGAAGTCATATTATCACTGACAGCTAGTTGGCCAGTTTATCTTGTTGTCAAACACCCATCTGGGACTCAAGACCAGATTTTTATTACTGTCAGACAGTTTCAGTTTTGTTGATGTGGGGTACCCTCTCTGATGAGAGGATGGGTCTGTCATTTACAATTGCTGTTGGCCCTTGCTAGCACAGTCATTCTCGTGTCCAAATCTCGCAGAACTCATGATCATATTTTACTGTTTAACTTCAACAGCTAACTGGTCCTGCTTATAACAACTTGGTACAGACTGCACAGAAACACTGTTCATCTGTTGCAGTGCAATTGTTACCATGGAAACATGCTTGTTAGCAGAGCTGTTAATTAGTAATGGTTGTTTTATAATTGCTTATTTCGTGGTCATTGCCTAGCAACAGGTCTGCATGCCACAATATCCTGAACAATTGACCAGAATAAAGCTAATTCACCAACTGTTATGTATATTAAATATACCTCAGAGAATGGATAGGAACGAAACATGCTTCAGACAATGAATGGATAATGTCCAATGTAACTGCGGTACATGCTTGGATCACTCATATGATTATTGCTCATGCTGCAGGTGTGTTCAATGACAGAATAGTGACTCATCAAGTTAAGTACCTGGGTCTGATGGAAAACCTACGTGTACGACGTGCTGGGTTTGCATATCGACGGCCATATGAAATGTTCCTGCAGCGCTACAAGTGCCTAACCCCTGCCACATGGCCAAATTATCATGGTCCATCAAAGCAAGGAGTCCATGAAATAGTCTGCCACTTGGGATTTGAAAGAGATGAATACAGGATGGGAAAGTGAGTTCAGTAATGTACTTAAACATTAACCTTTAACGTCTGAAGTGCCCCGATCAGACCAGTGATGAGTATGGTCATCGTGGCCAAAGTACCCCGTTTTGGCCAGTCGGGCATTTAAGCTCAGCTAGTGGAAGTGTGCACACATGCCGCTAGTAGAAGTGCATACACAGTCCCAGACAGACTTGAGTAAAACCCTAATAGAGGAATTAAAATGATACCTAAGTGAACATCAGCAAAAAAGAGTATACGTATGAGTTATGCCCAAACTCATCCATGAGCCAGTACTTTTATTGCAGATTCTGCAGGTTAATGTGTTAAAAATATATATAGTAAAATTTGATGTGCATAGCTTTTGTTGTTATCTGCTTGAAGTCTGAATGGCAACAGGCCAGAAGTTCTAATCCATTGAGAGAAAAGATCATTATGGTTAATGTGAAGAAACTGTCTTTACCAAATTCGTGTTTAGTTCCTTAGGCTTAGTACTTAAATTATTTTGTTTAATATTTTTATGGTCACAACACAGCTCAGCTGGTATAGTGACTAGGCTAAGAGCTAGGCTACCGAGTAGTTGGGGTTCAATTCCCAATAGGCGCAAGAGTTCTTTTATAAGGTCCAGGCCAGTTCTGGGGCCCACCTATCCTCCTGTACAGTAGGAAATGGCAGGAATGAATATCTCTAAAGTGTGCAGTCACATTACTGTGACAAATCCTAGTCTTATCAAAAATATTTATAGCATCATATGGCAACTTATATGTACTGACATACTTTATAAACACACAGGAAATTTAAATGTGATTGCAGTGTATTATTAACTTTTCTCTCTTTGCATCCAGCACAAAGATCTTTATCCGATCACCAAGGACCCTTTTTGCTACTGAAGATGCATTCCAAGCAAAGAAGCATGACATAGCTACAATTATTCAGAAGATTTGGAAAGGCAGACTCCAGCGTCAAGAGTATCTAAAAATGCGAGAGGCGGCCATTACTATTGAGAAATGGTCACGGCGATTCCTTGCACAAAAAGAGGCTGAAAGAAGAGACAAAGCTGTCCATATCATCAGAAAGTAAGTCATGCCACTGCAGATATAATGAAGACAATTATCTTATTTTTGAACTGATATATTTTTAATTATTTTTATAGTCTCTGTCTTTGAAATACAGCATGGTAAAATATTCAGAGTGATTTTCTTAACATGTTTTTTAATAATGTACTGAAATATTATATGTACATGTAGTAAAGAATAACAGCGGCACGCACACAGGAAGAATACACAGGATAACACCTATACAGTGTGGAAACAAGAACTAGCCGCTGCAGCACTTTAGACATAGGGCGAGTAACCCTAACAATTTTAAATTTAAAATTTAGAAAAATTTTAAAGGATTTTAAAATTAGAACTAAAGATTTTATAGTGCTATTACAGGAATGTCAAAATTAACGTGTATAAAATAATCTACAAACCAGACAGATTCAACAAAGTAGATGTTGATAATAACAGGGAAAGTGTTTTAAATGTTAAATTTTGGACTGGGTGCAGTGTGACAGCAACGTCAGTGTTATACACCTGATGATGGCCGTCTGAGGCCGAAACATGTAGTGTAGGGGAGCAAGATCAAGGACACATAATATATTGTTTGCACTTGGGATGGAATTTGTATCATTTAATGTACTGAAAGTACAGAATGAACTTAATATGCTTGATCCATAATGGTTACTGGAATGCCTAAACACATTTGTTTACAATTTAAGAAGTAGTGCCTGTACATTGCTTTATTGCCACTTGGACAGACACACCATTAAAGAACACAAATGGACGAAGGAGATTGGCAGCAGTCTGTGGAACCCTGGGAAACTATGATTTAGATTGAGTCCTTGTATATGGTGATAAATTTCAGAAACATGTGGCTTTGTTTGCAGCTTCATAAAAGGTTTCATCACGCGAAATGGTCAAATCACAGAAGTGAACAAAGCATTCGTGGAGTTGGCCAAAGCTCAGTATCTGATTCGCCTCTCTAAGAACCTTCCTACCTCATTGCTGGACAAATCCTGGCCACCTCACCCTGTAGTGTGCAGAGAGGTAATTACACACCACTTATCAAATGTTTCCATGGAAAATAATCCTATACAATTTGGCTATTTCAAGGCTTAACAAATCCCAAGTACTAGTTCACTGGGGCACATAAACTGTTCATTATGGTGCCTATATTTTCAGGATATATTTCTAAAGCTTCTGTGTATTCATGTATGGAACTTTCAAGGTTTTTGGTTTTAGTTCTGTTGTGCAGAATGAAATTCCAGCCAGTCACAGAAACTGAAGCCTTTCTGTTCAAACTACACAGTCAGTTGGCAGAAACGTATGGAACATTTTAGTTAGCATGTGTTTTGAAATCGGTGTGCCCAATTTACGTTGCTTCAGACACATGCCAAATTATTATTTTTATATGTATGAGGAGCATTCCATATATAATTCCTCCTATTTTTTTTAATGAAAACTACAACCGATACAGAAAGTATAATAATGCAGATAAATAGAGCAAGATTTCAGCTACTTACAGCTATTTTTCCACATAATCACCACCATTCGTAATGCACTTATGCCATCGATGAACAAGAGCCTGTATGCCATGCCAGCAGAGGCTAGACACTTTCTTACAGCTGCAATGACAGCATCATTGTCTGGAAAATGTTGCCCATGTAGTTCATAGGCCCAAAGAGATGGAAGTCTGAAGGTGCTAAATTGGGGCTATAAGGTGGATGTGGCAGGACAGTCCAGGCAAACTTTGCAATGTGCGTGGTGGTCACCAAACTGGTATGGGGTCTAGCATTATCATGTTGCAAGCGAAACGTTGTCTGCTTCTCTGGCCTGACTCAGGAAATGCGGGCTTTCAGCTTAGTCAGCGTCATCTTGTAGCGTTCAGAATTGACAGTCTCACCAGGCTCCAGGGAATCCAACAAAATCACACCCCGCCTATCCCAAAAGACCGTGCACATCACTTTCCCTGCTGATGGCTGTGTCTTGAACTTCTTTTTTCTTGGGGACTCCAGATGTCGCCACTTCATGTACTGTCTTTTGGATTCCGGATCGTAGTGGTGACACCACGTCTCATCTCCGGTGATGATGCTGTCCAGAAACTTGTCACCTTCAGCCTCAAACTGGTGCAACAGGTCCTGACAGACTTCCATTCGATGAGTTTTGTGGTCCTGTGTAAGCATCCGTGGGACCCACCTGGAACAAACTTTGCAATAATCCAGCTTTCCCAACATCATTTCCAATGCATTACAGCCAATATTAAGCCGTGCACACAGTTATCTGGTTGTTATCCACCCTTCTATATGGATGAGCTGATCGAGGCACTGTTCATTGTGAGGAGTGGCAACTGAGCAGGGATGCANTTCAGCCTCAAACTGGTGCAACAGGTCCTGACAGACTTCCATTCGATGAGTTTTGTGGTCCTGTGTAAGCATCCGTGGGACCCACCTGGAACAAACTTTGCAATAATCCAGCTTTCCCAACATCATTTCCAATGCATTACAGCCAATATTAAGCCGTGCACACAGTTATCTGGTTGTTATCCACCCTTCTATATGGATGAGCTGATCGAGGCACTGTTCATTGTGAGGAGTGGCAACTGAGCAGGGATGCACAGGGCATGGCTTGTTGTGCACTTCACTTTTGCCACTGTTGAAACGCACTACCCACCGCCTCACTGTGCTGATATCCACTGTATCATCTCCGTACACCTTTAGCAAGTGTTGATGGATGTCAATGGGTGCAATTTGTTTGACAGTGAGAAATTCAATAACACATCTCTGTTTCATATGCACTTCTATGTCAGACACCCTTTTGGTAGACTGCTCTGCTGTCGCTATCTGTCGCATGACAACCAAACTAACTGTACATTGGCGGGAAGGTTCAACCTTTACTACAAACCACAAAAATCCAGCTCTGACGTTACATATTAACACAAAAAAATAGAAGGCATTATATATGGAACGCCCTTTGTACATTCAGTCTTCATAAAGAATTTGAATTTAAATAACTTGTAATGCAGTGATGTGGTACTGAACTATCAGGAGTACCTATACAAAGACATCTTTTGTCACAGCATAACATTTCTGTGCTTTGTTGGTTTCCTTGAATGTAATTTTGAATCTTTGGTGAGGTACTTGGATCCAGTTGAAATTGATTGTGAAAATAGGCAAAATATGCTCGTGGTAACTGTTGGACAGGAGGGTGAGTGGACCCCAGATCAGTTCTGGGCAGAGTGATAAGGGGAGACATACTCCTTCATTGGCACTTGGAGTGAATCATATAGTCAGCAGCCAGCCATATTACTGCTCAGATTTGAGATGTATATTGTGGTGAAAATTTAAATTATGGTCTTCCGGTATACAACACCATGTAGTCTTGAAGGTGGGTACCACCACTTTAGAGGAACCTGCTGCCCCCACTTTCAGGGCAGAAGTAACAGTGTCATAACCCAAGCAATCACAATCTAAATCACATTATAAATTTAATATATAATCTCAAAGAAGATAAAGATAATAATCATGATTTGTGCTTTCTCTCTTGAACTACTGTATTTGTTAGGCATCCACACTCTTACATCAGTTGCATCGAAGATGGCTCTCAAGGAAATATCGCTTGGCACTGAGTCCTGGGCAGAAGAGACAGTTTGAACTCAAAGTGCTTGCAGAATCAATTTTCAAAGGTATTAATCAGTATTAATTATTATTCATGACTAAAATTTTAGGACAAAATAACAGCTAACTCTTCAAGAATACACCTGAATCATGGAAACAGTCATTCTATTTCAATGTGACTTCTTGTACATTACTCTATGTCTTCATATAAAATAATAACTGCAGTAGATGATGTAATTGAAAAGTTTGCATGTTTCTTTTCAGTTTTATTAGGGATTCCCAGTATGAAATTTCCTGAACTTCCATTTATTAAGGATGTACATGAGGTAACATTGAGAACCAAGCACAGTTTTTATAGGCATAAAATGCCTGTCACTCTAAGGAGGGATCTTTGGAAACATAGTGTTCAGAAAAGTAGTTGACCTAGGGGGTACAAAGCATCAACAGGCTGGAGAAAATTTTGAATTCATATGTGTCTCTGGCTGTAGTTCACAGGCTGAATAAGTCAGTGTAGCAGTAACAATCTAGACCAGTGTTTCTCAACCGCCAGGCAGCGGCCCAGTACTGGACCCTGGCATGAATTATACCAGGCACATGTCTTTGAGAAAAAGAATTTACTGGGCTGCGGCCTGACAGAGGTTCAGAACCACTGCCCTAGACTCATATTTTGGAAGTGCTTGGTTCGAATTTTGGCCATGACACTAGCTATCCTGACTGAGGTTCTTTACAGTCTTTTTCAGTAACCTCCAGAAAAATGCTGGGAGAGCACTGCTTCCTTCCAAATCCTTTCCAGTTCATCATCATCATCCTACTATTTGATGCCATATAATCTACCTTCTTTATATTTATTCAAACTATGCTTTAGCAGAATAACATATTAATCTTACTATTTTGTACATGAATGAAATCTATAATAAAATATGAACGACAGCTCATACATACATAATTATACAAACATGCACACAACTTTGCAATAATACATGATCTTATATACTAAGAGATATTAAATTTATTTAGTGTACTGTCAAGGTTGCGAAACTCAGAGTTAAATCACAATGTAATATCATATAATTAAATATTTTTAAATTTCAGATAAGAAGAAATCATATCCCCAGAGTATAGGTCCAAGATTTGTGGATGACAGACTCACAGAGGAACAGAAGGCCTTACGGCAGACTTTTCAGCAAAATCACCTCAATGGTGACAAAATTGTGGTGAGTGCTTCAGCAGAAAACATTGTTGCATATATCTTGATATACTTCTTTACAGCCTTGAAACAATATGAAAGAATTGCATGTCATAAACAAATACAGATGAAGTGGATAAAGACAAATGGCAGATCATGGCACTGAATTGTGAAACCATGTGCTATGTGAAGAATGGTAAGAGGAAGACAGAGATGTTGGAATGGGGGTTCAATGGCTGTATGAGCATGATGTTCCCTAATGTGTAAAGACATAAATGAATATGCTGTAATTTACTTTGAGCACATTTACTATCATTCGTAAGTTCAAGTACTTGAGAATGACAGTGATAAATCAAAATTATATTCATGATGAACTTAAGAGGAGATTAAATTCAGGGAATGCCATAAGAATTTTTGTGCTCCTGCCTCTTATTCAGAATTGTAAAGATCAAAATAACAACTATACTATGCTTTAGCTGTTTTTTAGATCAATGTAAATTTGGTCTTTCACTCTACAGAATATGCACAAACTGAAGGTTTTTGAGAAAAAAGGTGCTAACAAGAATACTGGGCTCAAAAGTAAGAGGAAGAGGAAGAAGATGGGAAAAAATTGTGTAATGAGAAGCTTTATAACCATCTTCACCAAATATTTTTAAGGTGGTTAAATCAAGGAGGATGAAATAGACAAGATATGTAGCATACAAGGGGGAAACGATTAATGCACACAAGACTTTTGGCCAGCAAACCTCAGTTTTAGGAACGGGCCCAGTGGTCTGCTTTTCTGAATATGGTACAGTAAACGCCTGGCTATCTGCCATGTGTGGGGAATGGGGTATGTTGGTTACTTGAATCTGCCAGTTGCAAGAGAAAACTCTTACAGAAACACAATACAGAGTTAAAACAACCTGTTTTCTCTTTAGTTCTTTCATAAAAGTCTTCCTAGGCAATATAGCAGAATGAGATCCTATGTGGAAGGGGTCAAATACCTTCACCGTGACCCTGTGAGTCGTAGGAGGTGATGAAAATTGAAGTTTTGAATCTGAGACAGTAAAATATGGTCACTAGTCCCACAGGACTCAGACCCAAGAATCAAGAATGGCTGTGCTAGCAAGGGCCAGCAGCAACTGTAAATGATAAACCCATCTTGTCAGAGAGAGCGCCCAACATCAACAAACCCGCAACTTTCTGACAGTAAAAAGAATCTGGTCGTACGGCCCAGATGGGTGCTTTATTCCAAGACAGACTGACCAATTGACCGTCAGTCATAACATAAGAGTCAGACTCAACAGACTGATGATTGGTGGGTGAAAATATTTAAGATATGTTATAATGCAATCACACATTCACCTAGACCGTACTGTAATGGCACCTGCATGAGTGGCGATGGTGGACAGTGCTTCAGGCTGCTGGCAGAAGTACCACATGCGAGGTGAATGTATGCGCATCACAACTTTGTTTCTGAAGTAACTCCATAAGAATCTTGAAATTTTGGCCAGTTGCGTGAGAATTCCGGATCACAAGAGTTTCTTTGGGGTTCACAAAAGGCGGAAAATTTATTGACTACATGAATAACTATCAGCTTCACAAGAAAGGCAATGCATCATGGAGTTAATTCTTCTTAAGTATGCATATCTTCAGTGCTATATAGTCTAGCTACTGAAAGAATCATCAAATGACCAACAAATAAATAAATAAGCACTTCTGTAGTTGTCTCTGTGAAGTTCAGTATTTTTAATTGGTAGCATAGTTGGTTGAGGCACTATGCTACAAGCCGGAAGGTCGCAGGTTCAAGTCCCAATGAGGTCATTTAATTTTTTCAATTGACCTAATCTTTCCAGCCACACTGTGGCCCTGGGGTCGACTCAACCTCTAACAGAAATTAGTATCAGGAATATTCTTGGGGGTAAAGGGCGGCCGGCACGTAAGGCTGACAACTTTGCTGCCATCTATGAGCCGATTATCTAGAAAATGTAGGAACCTCAACATCTCACAACCTTATGGGCCTCCAAGGCTTGTTACAGGTATAGCTTTACTTGTACTTTTTATACAACAAAGAGTTTTCATAAATGAATCAAATCATAATTCTGTGCTATCTTTACTATGTTGCAGTATGCAACCACAGTGACAAAGTATGATCGTCATGGCTACAAACCAAGGGAACGAGTACTTGTGCTTACCAACAAGCACCTGTATGTACTGGATGGTAAGACTTTCAAACTGAAGCACAATCTTGGACTGGATATGCTCCAAGAACTGGTGGTTACCACTGAATCAGACAACCTTCTGCTGCTCAGGATACCTCCAGAATACAAAAAGGATAAGGTATGATGCATCAATAGATATCAACTCTATCCTGCATATTTACCCTTACAAGTCTTGACTGCAGACTATTTAAAAGATACTGTGTGTTTCATGTTATGATTGGAAAAATGTACTTCTCCAACACTGTAACAAAATCCACTACATTAAGGCTCTTTTCTAGAGAACTAGAGAGACTCATTACTATAGTTAGTCAGTGTCATGCCTACAGATAAACACAGAATGGTTTAGTGCTTGATCACAGATAATTTTAACCTAACAGCTGCAACAAAAACAATGACAACTGGATGATGATAATGATGACAACTCTATCCAAATTTCCATAAAGGTTCTTAGAGCGGCAATGTGAAATCCATGCAATTGGTGGCCACTGCCAAGAGAATTCTGCACTTGCACATGGTATCAACTATCTCTGCTATTCCTCATCAGGAAATATTGCATGCTCATGTTTACTGCTTGTGTTCATCTGGTACAGGAAAATACCAGGCTCCAAAATATTCCTCCACTCATTCAAATTCTGATGTAGCTCACACACTAAGATTTTGTGCACTGAGTCTACATATTCTTTATATAGAATGTTTTAAATGGGAGGGTCATGTCTGTCTGTTCATCCATGCTTCATCTCTGAAACTATTGATGATGCTTGGTACTAGGGATCTGCATTAAATGATGTAAGACACATTTAATTTGAATCTTTATGAGTGCAATGTAACTCCTACATTACATGAAGCCTGAAGTTAACTCCATTTTCTCAAACACAGCTTAGCTAGATCTCACGAAGAATAACAATTATTATTTAAAAAGTTTTCCAATATGATGTTCCTTTAACATAATACAAGGACAGATATATATGACTCTGCAATGTTGTATCTGCAGTTTGATTAGCTTTGTAATGATAGATATATGTCTGTGATAAATGAGCATAATGTTGAGATATGTAAATTTGCAAAGAAAAGAGTATATAAAAAGTGCATGTACTAAAATGGTGATCAGTCTTCAATTCTTGTTCAGTACATCATGCTTTACATGTTTACTGATCCTCATCTCACAATCATATACCATCATGGCTTGGATCTATATTAGGAGGAAACAGACCATTAATTAATGTCATGTCTATACAGCAAGAATCAAGATTTGAGAAAATAATAATATGTAAAGAGTGAAAAAAGTGTTAAAGGTTAACTTTTGCCTGTGCTAACACACCAAGTCATGAAGGTGCACAGGAAGTAGAAACCCATGCATGTTTAACCTGAGCATTAGACAGACACAACTGCTCAAATTCACATTCTTACCACCTTTGCCCTGCGGAAAGAGGTCTCAATACTGGTTAGATAGAAAGATGGACTCCTACAGTTGGTCTGGATGTGATGGAAAATTTAAAAATACTGCCTCTACCAGAAAATCAGAACTTAGTGTTTGTGCCTATTGAGCTATCCCAGTTTGTGGTAAAAGTGGTGACTTGTTCAAATGCAATGTATTCATTCTCATTTCTCAGAAATTTACAAAGAAGGTTATTGAACAATGGCATTCAGTATTCTGCATCAATTCAGTACTGGAAAATGCACACTAATACTAACAAAATAATCTGTGCTTATGGTCCGGTCAAAACATGAAACACTAAACAGGTTGGTACACCTACCATCCAACAGTATATATAATCTTGGGATTGTTAAATAATTCACATACACACAAAAAAGAACAAAAGAGCTTGTGTTTAAAGCATGAGGGGAGATAATTTAGCAAATCATTAACATATATTACTAATTTTAATTTACAGGGGGACTTAATTCTGGAGGTGGGCCACATAATCGAAGCAGTCACCAAGATTGTTGATGTAACAAAGAAAGCACATAATGTAAAAATCATGGAAGCTGGAACGTAAGTTTTTATATTTACAATTTTGTAAAAACAGGAATGTGTTTACCACTCACATGTCTGGAAGTTCATTTGGAGGAGTGCTTTGCAGGATAAGTTACTGAAAACTTCATTCACATAAACTACAATTTCAGTTATGCAACTGATTTGTGATTTGGCCAAGTGCAGATTTGAACAGTGCAGTACCTCAAGCAGTCATTGTTTTCTTGTGCATTGCTGGCACTGGTGCCAGATGGGTGAAGTAGACCCAGCATAGATGGCAGCAACAAGTGTTTTTTCTAAGCCCACTTTTGCTTCAGCAATTCCATCCTCTCCACCAAATGCCCTGGCATTCTTCATAATTTTTCTACTAAATTTTCCATGCATATCTGCAGCATATTTATAATTAAAGTATCAAGTATAAAGTAACCTGTTTTTATTATAGAAATAATTAGGTAAATTATTTTCCAGTTTCCAAGAAATCCCCCCCCCCACACACACACACACACACACACACACACAAATTCATACAAGGATAGACTGTACACCTTGCATGAATCAGTGGTGATTTACTTGGAACTTTCTGTTACAGTATCTCCCACAATCTTATTGGTGGGAAGCAAGGAGTCATTGATATCACAACAGGGACAAGTCCTGCCATTGTTAAGGGTAAAAGTGGCCACCTCCTTGTGGTATGTACTGTATCTTCTTACCAAATTCTCAGTGTAATCATAACAATCTCTTTATTTCTTTAATGTTTTCAGGACATTACAGGCTTGCATATGTGGTAAATTCTTATATGGTATGAACCGTGAACAAGTTAAACATATCGTGTACAGTGGGACCTCTGTCTAATGTCCCTCAGATTAAGGTTCCCTCTCATTTAATGTTACATTTCAGTAATCGCAAGTCAATAATCTCGGTGTTGAATTTCTGACATTAAAAGAGGGCCTTAAATGGGGGATTCACTGCATTATCACTGTGCATAGCTGTATCCTGATTTCAGTTTCTACACGTCACATGATCACATATAACAGCAAACCTTATTTAATGTTAACAAAGAAAAAATAACCTTTCTTTTGTAATTATATATATCCATATATGAGCCAATAAAACCTAATGATTGCCATTCTGACATTATGTAGCAGAGCTGGTAGTTGTTACTAACAGTACCAACAGGCAGCAGTGAGAAGTATACCTATGTTTCAGAGTTACAGTTTTGGCTTTGCCAAAAAGAATTGCACTGTTGATTACATTCATATTCAGCAAAACCAAGGTCTAATGTATAGAGTAGATAATGAAAAGTTCAGTTCAATGTGACATACAAGTTTATAACACTTCAGTCCTCATTCGCCTTACATGTTTCGATTCAAAAGAATCATCTTCAGAGGCGCACCACTACGATAAGGAAACACTGTTACATAAGATAATGTAACAATATGCCCTTTAGATATGACTAATGCTCTCTATATAAATTTTGTTATCACGGTTGGTTCCGATGTTTATCTTATCTTATAGATTGGACAGTAAAGGGGTTATCTACAGAAATTGTAGCAAGGGATGGGAACTGTTTATTTGTTTAAGCGCCCTAACAGGAACAGACATTTAAACCCGCACCAGCAGCGGGCATTTAATTAAACTCCAGCCAGCTCAAGCTTACCACCACTTCAAAAGTCCAGCGTTTAAAGGTTAATATTGCAGTGTACAGACTCACTGCTAGGCAAAGACCTCAAAACCAGCAAAGTATCAGACCTGTTTTTGAGCAATGAGTTAAAACATTATCACGGAAACGAGGTGCATATAACAATACAGTTAACAGTGGAAATGGGGTTGTTTTCTTTGTGGTCTGTGCTGAGGAGTTAAAAAGAAGATAACTGAGGCAACTAAGTTGAGTAGATAGGAGTTCTGTATGGGGCTTGAGCACAGAAGCAGAGGAATAACCATTTTTAACATCCATTACCAAGCAATGGCTAGTGAAGACTGTAACAGACTTAGAAGATAAAGTGTGTCATATAGTGACTTGTGAAGTGCAGAAATGAGTTATATAAATGTGCACTAAATCCGGTCATCAAACCAAAACTCGTCTGTAGCCATACCCCCTAAAGTTGATTATTATAATAATTATGAACTTTATGCTTACAGGTTGCTTCCCCATAAAAATAAGTTGAATGAATACTGTGCTTCTGGCAGTACCGATGGTTTTCAATTGACATGCATTTTAAGGTATCAACTGCAGCACAATGAACTACGTGATTTGTGGAGTGGGGGAAGAAGTAATATTTATCAAAGTTGTGGTCGGATTCAGAACATCAGTATGTTCTAGCAAGGTTTAAATTTTTAATATAAAAAGTTAGTATTTATTTCACAGAATTGTATTTCATAGGCAGCATGTTTTACAGATTACCATTATTTTTGCGACATAAGATTGCCAGTTTTACTTTTTTTTTTTTGCACACTTCCTTGTTGAAATGTGTTTCATATTTCATTTCTATGTCATGTCAAGATTATCTAGTCCTTGCTGAAGCTCTGAGTTTTAGGCCACAGTTTGCCATGGTAAGATAAGTGCCATCATACAAGTGTAATACACGTAGTGAGATAAAAATGCTTTAATGTAATTAATTTCTTGTGATTATCAGTACTTAATTAAATCTGAGTTATTGTTGCATCACAAATATTTTATTTACACATATAAGTAGTAGTTTGTGTGCGCGCGCGCGTGTATATGTGTATATATGTATGTGAACAAATAAAAGGATTAATACAGAAATATTTACAACCTATTTCTGGCAGAGTTGTATGGAAAATACTGTAAACCCCTTGAAAATTCATGTGCTTGTGTGTTTGATAACTGGCAATATCTGTATTTCAGGACATTGTTGATAAATTTCCCCTCCAATAATGTTCCATACTTACTTTGATGAGAGTATGTTTGGAAATAAAGTGCACAAGCATAGATATGAAGTAACAAAGGACTGGAGAAAATTACATATTTAAGAACTTCACAATTTGTACTGTTTGTCTAATTTTTTTATGGTGATTAAAACATCAAGACGGTACAATTCATACCTGTGACACATCCATGATATGAGCAGCATGTTCAGTGAATGGATTATGTTTGTTAAACTTTGTACAAGTAATGGGAGTCCCCATTGACTTCTTAAAAACTACACCCTTTTTGCACTAAAAAAACTGCTCTCATGAATACTTCCTGATATGCAAATGACATCAACATACTGATCACCATTTATACAACAACCAAGTTGAATCACTACAATGCACCACCCAAATTTATAATAGTAAATGTGTATCATAAAGAAGGAAATTCATGTTGTATAAAGTCCAAGTACAGAAACCATAGAAACATTTTATTTTAAATACCAACCAGTCATGGACTAACCAATTAACTTCATGAAGCTGAGACTTTCCTGAGAAGCTGCCAGTTGTGCAGCTATTCAAGAGCTTTTTTATGGAACCCGAAAGTTTATTATGGTGTTCACAAGAGACCTTCACTGGCCCCTATCCTGCACCAGATCAATCCAGTCCATACCACCCCATCCTGTTTCTCCAAGATCCATTTTAATGTTATCCACCCATGTCTTGATCTTCCTAGTGGTCTCTTTCCTCCTGGCTTTCCCAACAGTATCCTATATGCATTCCTCTTAGCCCCATTCATGCTATATGCCCTGCCCAACTCATCCTCCTTGACTTGCTCATTCCAATTATGATTGGCACAGCGTACAAGTAATGAAGATCCTCATTATGTAGTTTTCTCCAACTTCCCATCATTTCATATCTTTTCAGTCAAAATATTCGCCTAAACACCCTGTTCTCAAACACATTTTCATCCGCCTAACCAGTATCATGGGTACCCCAACCTCTACAAGAATACTGTACGATGCTTCCCATCCAACTGAATCATAGGCTTTCTTCAAGTCTATGAATAGGTGCACCAGAAAAGAGATATTTTGCAGAAGAGACAGACATCTGTCAATGAACAACTTAAATATTTAAATCAAGGGCAAATGCATAAATACTGAGTAAGGTGTATAGTCACAGATGGAACATTATCCTTAAAAACTTGGTAGACTATGTTAGGGGATGTCCAAATTATTGCAGTGCACATCTAAAGGCTGAAGAATCATATGATTCCATAAGCAAAGATAGTTTTAAAATTAAGTATCCAGGAAAAGATAATTGCAAGATTCCTGTTTCTCTCAGCATAATATATTTTCAAAATAACTTCACAATTTCAATCACAACACTTGAAGGCATTTACAAGTTTCTGTGAGATATTTTTCATCTATATTACTTCTTGAATCTGCAAGAAAAAATATTGTACCTTAATTCAGTGTGTTATTAAAATATCAAAGTATTATATGTTTCTTTTAGTACAATCATAAAATACTTTTATAAAATACAGGCCATTAATGACATTCTCTGCAATATAGCTAGCACATGTTTATTAAATGTTTCATTACATTACTGCCTTCACTGCACAATGAAACTACTGTGATTTTTCCAAAGAAGTCAGAGTTGCCATTTTATGTGCATGGTTGACCCAGCCATGCTACACCCTCTATCCGCAAAAGTTGGCACTAAACTTCGCTGACAAGCGGCGGTCACTCAGTATAGTTTGCTTGTGGACTAAAATCATGGAGCTTGTTTTGTTTGGTTGACCCAGCATTTACACATGATCACCTGATATATGTGTGTGAATGTGCATGCGCACCATAATTCATTCTTCATTTTCAGAGATTATTGGTCAAATCACCATGCAGTCTGTTTTCGTGTAACTTTATCACATGTATCTGCCACAAATGGCCATACGATAACAGCCCATAAGGACTGTACATCCAAATGTTTATTTAAAAAATCAAACTGGTTCCTGTTAAAATAATTTAAAATTATGTAAAATGATGTAATATACATTACAGTGTTCTTTCCTGTGCTCTGTGGCCTCAATGGTGATTCTATCAATAATTTGCCTGGATGAACTGAATATCATATTGCATATATATGGTAAAGCTATCCTTGAGAGTGGCCATGGAGGCCCATAGAGTTGTCAGATGTTGAGGCTCCCACATTTACCAGACAATTGGCTCACAGATGGCAGTGAGGTTGTCAGCCTGACGTGCCGGCCACACTTTATCCCTGGAAAGATTCCTGGTACTCATTTTCTGTTAGAGACCAAGCTGACCCCAGGGCCATAGTGCGGCTGGAGGGATTAGGTCAATTGAAAAATCCAGTGACCCCATTTGGAACCGTGGGCACCCGTGACCTCTGAGCTTGTAGCATAGTGCCTCAACCAAGTACACTACCACGTGCCCCTATATATATATATATATATAAAATGATGAAATAATACAATAGGATACTCAGATAAATATTATTTATACATCATTTATTTGGGAGGGAAGATTCTAATTATTTGGCAGACTCATATTAATCAACAGTAAAAACTGTCGACAATGAAGCCATTGCATCAGCATATCCAGCTGAACATGGAAACTCATCACCTTGGTTACAACAGCAGCCAAAAGCTGTGAAGACAAGTATCAATAATGAGAAAGCCTTGAAGATGTAAAAATATGCCAGCGAATTAAATTACCTCACATACAAGAACAGAACACAAATGAGAGGAAACTCGGATGTCTACACATGCACACACATTGAGAACATAAGAGCTCAAATAATGCAAAAATGTTTAATTTAAAATATATTATATACAGCAAAAGTCCCACCAAGTGAGGGTTCACTGCACTAAAATTCACAAGTCTGTTCTCCAAGAAAGTAACATTAATTCTGTGGAACGTGTACGAGTATACGCATTCCTCTATTAGTGTTATTATTTCCACCTTATGATTGAATGAGGGCAAGATCTTAAAAGAAATATTTTAAACATCTTTTTTTTCCTTGGCACTACAGCCCCAGTGGACATAGGCCTACCACCATGAACTTCTCCGTTCACTTCGGTTTTTCTAGATCTTACACATACGATAGGACTCCTTGGGTGAGTGATCAGCTCATCACAAGGCCTCTACCTATACACAAACACAGAAAAATGCACACACACAAACTAAATATCCATGCCCTGAGTGGCATTCAAACCCACGATCCCGGTTTCCAAGCGAGAGAAGACAGTACATGCCTTAGACCGCTCAGCTACCGTGATCGGCTTTTAACATCTTACACCCTGATAATTTGCTATAATACAATATATAAATACCCTCGACAATAGTTTTCTTCATTCAGACACTTTCATGGTCCCTAGTATTAATGCTGTGTCCTTCCCCACCTAAAAGTCAGTTCTGCTGCAGTTTTCCAACTACAGAGGTTAAACATTCAGGTACCCTGGTTTTCTCCTTTTTATTCACTACAAAGATGCTTTCATAGTCATGTTCTTAAACTGTATTCCGGATACCACACATTTACCGACACCAGACTTACTAAATTCAGAGTAGGGCTGAATCATGTGGAAAGGATATCTGCATTGATAGTGGCAATGCGAATCAAAAATTTCTGGAAAATTGATATGAAGTTTCTTAACACTCTGTACAGCAGTGTTCTCAATAGTAGTGAAATAAGTCCAATAATGCATATGCGTTTCCAGGAAAACCGCAGCAAAGTAAGTGCTAAATCAAGAATTTGTGCTTCCAATACACACAATCGTGACAGATCTACGAGTACACCAGCACTCTGCAAAATTACTGGAATTTCTGAGATTTGAAAAAAGAACTGCATGTTGTGACCTGCTGGTTGTCCATGTACGAATAATTACAAAACATCAGTGCTGGTGGCTGTTCATGCAGACTATGAAAAAACATGGCATTAATTTCTGAATATGGGATAGTGACTTACAAGTAATAAAAAGAAAACATGTATACTTGATATTTAGCAACAGGCATACCTACATTCATTATGAAAGCAACATGTAATTGAGGTACACACAAGGCAACAGGTAAAAAGGCAGAGCTGTCCCCTGCCTAACCACCATAACACAAAGGTATATAGGGACAGTGGAGGGGCAGTTCCATGTGTTTGTGATTTTTTCACCAAATGCAGACGTCATCTTCAAGTTGTTTAATTCGAGGGCATGAGTGCTGGCATCCACTGGAAAGGAATGGGGGGGGGCAATCTGGACATAGTGACAAAGAGAAATATGCAACTCCTGCTGGGAATTGAACTGTAGTCAACATGTGAGTTGGAAAAATGTTGTGGTTTGTTTCATGGTGGTAAGACTGTTCATTTTCAGAAATACCTGACAGAGGGACACTGTAATGTTTCACACACAAGGACGCATGTGTGACCAATGAAACAGTCTATTCCACACTCCCAAACAAGGAAATCAAGCTCAGGCTCTTCAAGAAATGAAAGCATTATTAATATAACCACAGCTTCTGCATCCCTAATGATTCATATTTATTCTCTTATTCCGCAATTATCATATAATTGGAAAATTAATTATGCTGTACCAGTTACTGAGGTAAACCCCCATATATTCAGTCTCAAACCCATGGCCACTTAAATTTCTTTGTTGGTTGTTTTGGCTGCTATAACTAGGAGTGCTCAGCTAGTGCTAATCTTCCTCAGTATATGGGCAAGAGTTATGTCCCTAGTTACTGCCTTTTGACCTTTCTGGCTTCTAGCCATCTGTAGAGACTAAGGAATCTACTGACAACAAGAACAACTCTTGTGGCAGGATTCCATTTATGACCAGTGAGGGGACATGTAAGGAGAACTATAAGTTAATATGGACTCCACAAAATATACAAAAAGTTGAGGGAGAATCAGGGAAAAAAATGTGGAAAAATCCACATCAGACCTGGTCAGGACTGAACCCAAGACCACTGGCATGGGGAACCTTTAATTATCATTAGGAAAGCTTACCAGAGATACAAATATCAGAATTATGAAAAAAAAAAAAAGTCCCTGAAAACACAAAACAAATGGCGACAAACTAATGAAACAAAGCACTAAAATTTTGGACAGCATAAAATAAATGAAGACACCAAAAGATATCAAAAGGTTGCCACATCCCAAAACTATTAAACTCAAGACACAAAACATTAAGACTCAGAAAAACAATAAACACAAATAATCATCCTCAAAGTGAAACTGAGGGAAACAAATCAAAAGGCAAAGTCCAAATTCTGAACCTCATAAACATCCTAGGGGTGTAAACTTAAATATTTAATTACTACACACAATCACTACAGGATTCAAATACAGTACAATTACATGGTCACAGAGCACGTGTTTAAAAGGTAAATTTAGGTACCAACAAAAAAAAGCACAAGTTCAATATCTTTTTAATAAAACTGCATCGTGTTTGGGTTTTCCTATAGGTCATAAGATTAAACTATCAAACAAACTTACCTTAAAGAACCTTTTTGTTTTTTTTCTTATTGCTCACTATATGTTTACACTGTAAATGGTAATCATCAGGTGACTACACAAATCAGCTAAATATACATATGGTATAAGAAAAAACTTGTTAAAATGTAGAAATGTAGAAGCATTTTTATAAATTGGATATGTGATCTGATGATGACCATGTATGGTCAAAACATATAGTGAGTAATAAAAAAGTAAACTTATCTCTGTGCTTAAATAATTCAACACTATACCATGAAGATGTATGGGGGAATGGATGTATAGATCCACGTTTTCTTGCCCTCAGCACTAGTTTGTGGTGAGTGGTCAGCTTCTGGCACCAGCCACTTTACCCCCTGGGTAAAGAGCTCCTGGTACCCATTGGATAGGAGGCTGGCTGGGCCCCAGAACCAGTCTGGATGTTGTGGAGAAAAATCTTGGCCTTCCAGGATTCAAATGCCACCCCCTTAGCCGTCTAGTCCGTAGCTAGTCACTATACCAACTGCACTATTGTGGCTCCTTACAGTAATAAGCAATAAAAAAATAAAAAGGCTTTTTAATGTCAGTTTGTGTGATGGTTTATCTCATGAGCTATTCAATCTATGTGCTTGTAATTATTACATATACATAAGTTAAGTAACTAGCAAGTTTTGTAAACTTATATGGCGTTATACCTACCCCTCCAACACATGAAATATCTGTGGCATTTCAGGCTTGAAGTATATAAGTAATTTTGATTCACTCTGTTCTGATAATATGATTATAACCACTTTAAGTACAAGCGAGTCACAAAGTTTATATAAATTGTCAATCGCTGAAGACTGAGTATAAGTTGCAATTTATTCCAGTGAATGTATTGCTATTTTGAACTGAATGGGCCCCAAGGATTATCAAAAAGTTATGAATAATCACTTTGGAAAAACATATGCAGATTTTCCAGGATTTGCCATTGGTTTCTTTTCTACGCTCTGCAGAAACATGCTTATGCATCAGCTAATGAAAGGAAAGAAAACTTTCAGGGAAGGATACAAGCCACTTAATATTTTTAAATAAGCCTGTACCTTACAGTACAGTGTTTCACAATCAGTGGGTCAAAGGATGAATGTAAGTATGTTATAATACATATGAAATATATTCCACTGTATTATATTTATTAAACAGCAACAAAGGGTGCATACTAATAACAAAAAGAAATAAACAAACATTAAAATTTTACAGTAAGAAGCATGTAAGTGAATATATCTTTTGTTATGGTTTAGAACTCAAAACATACTTTCAGGGCTCAACAAATACACTTCTGCTTCGTTTGACAAGTGAAAAAATGATTATATGCTGTATATCTTCACATATAATTTTGTACATTATAATAAAACTTGGCAAGTAATACTGTATTTAACTTGTGAACTACTATAATATTTGTTGGAAAGTGTACGTGTATACAGTTCCACGTTTTACGAGTAAGAAATTTTGTCATGTAAAAATGTCTAAATCTAGAAAAAAAATCTCCTGTCCCTTATTTTCACTTGTAAAAGAATCCATCCTGTGACAATTTCTAAAATGCATGAAGATGCACAAATATAAAAATGATCTCCAACTTCTTAGAGGAAGTATCATGGCAATTTGATAGACCTGCCAGCCCAGAGAGGATGAAGAAATGCATGTCCAAGATGACTGGCTCCAAACCACGGTGGCACCTACTAGTCCTCTACATATATAAATCTCTGACTATGGTCCTACTGAAAGTCAACAGTATCTCTGGCAGAGTACAGCATGCACCCCTGGACCACAAGGTCACAGACAGACCTCCAAGATTATTAATTAAACCTACAAGGCACTTAAACTCAACTTGCCCATACATTTAGGCCAAGACTAAATGTACTTGTTAAAGATCTGTCACGCTGTCAGCTTTTAAGAGGACAAATATATTTCTGGAGCTCTGGTAAGTTATCATTTTTCTTCGTGTTTCTAAAAAGTACTCAAAACTGAAATAAAATTATTTCCCTTTTAATATTTTACATGCGTTCAGGATGTACTTTAATGAAAATGCATAAAATCATCAATGACTTCAACATAAAAATATTTTATATTTCCTTTATACCCTGCCCTTTGTGTCAAACATTACATTACATGAAAGTTAACTCACAGAGAACTAAATTCTTGTTTTTACATATGCTGAGAAAATCCCTACTCACAATCATTTTGTACTATGACAAACTTTTAGCATTTCTGCATACATCGCACACCAAGTAGAGAACACACATTGTACTTATGCAATAATGTTATTGAACTCAAATATAAACAAATACCAGGACCCAAAAATGTATGTATATCTTCTACACAAGAAACAATAGTTGTGAATAGTGCTACAGGTCTAAATCCTACATCTTAGGTCACAGAATATAATCCAACACATTTCAAACAGGTAAGGCACATTACAACAAAGACTTGATGGGTGGTGAAAATGGTGACCTTGATGAAAAATTCACCAAAAAATTCCAGACATTCATGTTTTCTTTTTGTTGCCTTTGGATCTACCAGGAGTTGATTTCTTTGACAGAAGAGATTTCTTTCCATCTAGGGCTCTAGCCCTCAAATCATCTTCCATCGCTTCATTTACGGCTTTCGTTATGATCTTCTTAAGCTTTTGTGCTTCCTGATGTTTCTGCTTCTTGGGGGCCACAGGGCGATCTGAGAAATAATTGATCAGAATATTATATTATGAAATGTGTCAAAAATGTTGGGAGGACACTGCACTCATCACTTTCTGTGGAGTCATCCTACATACAACCATTAAATAAGTAATGTCTGAGAGACAAACAGATCATCCTTCAGCTCAAGCAGTATACTGTTCTTTTTGCAAGACTATTTGCACAAAAGTCAGCATTTTGCACACTCCAATGCTGGGGATTATGTTGTGAACAACCAGATGACCAGTCCTGAACTTGTAAGCATTATAAAACCAAATGCTGGATTTCAATCATACAGCCATCACTTTAAGCGAAATGTTTCTGTAATGCTGGAATAAGGAGGAGAAAACTAAACTAAACTTTGTGGTTTTAGTCCGCAAGCAAACTATACTGAACGAGCGACCGCCGCTTGTCAGCCATGTTAGTGCCAACCTTTTGCAGAAAGAGGGTGCCGCATGGTCAGTGCAACGAATCCCTACAGCAGTGAATTTCGGTTTTCTAGACCAAAGCCACTGAGCAGACTCCATTCCTGACCCAGTACTTCTCAGAAAATCTGGTAGCGCCGGGAATCGAACGCTGGACCTCTCGATCTGTAGCCAGGAACTCTGACCACTAGACCACACAGGCAGTCGGAATAGGGGAAAGAAATTAAAAATAATTACATTTTTCTGAGAGTCAAATACCTCTTTCTGGTTCCCACATTCCTAAGAAACTAGCACCAATTTCATTGTTTCAAAATGTGTTAATATTTACATCTGGACAATACTGGACTGCAGTCAAATCTTAAAGCTTATAACTGTGCAGTTCTGATCAAGGAACTAGAAGCTCATACATGTTTCTACACAGAAACTCCTTTGTAAATGACCACTGGTGTTCAAAGCTTCTGTACAGTTCCACATTTTAAAAACTCCTACTTTAAAGAATCACTATCCTGAACACAAGTTCCGAAAGTATTCTTTTAGGCAGGTTATTTAATGACACTTTCCGTACTGCAAACTATAGTGTTGAATGGTGGGCTGACAGATGAATGAAGAATTGGAAAGGATTTGGAAGGAACTGGTTGTGGCCTAACTGATGTACTGTACAAGTATTTTCCTGGAGGAACTGAGGAAAACAACAGGAACCTCAGTCAGAACAGCTAATGTCCCAACCAAGATTCAAAATGAGCACCTCCCAAATACAAGTATAGACACTAATTTTTTTTAATGCTAGTGGGGTGGTACTAAGTCCCTTGTACTGTGGCCACTTCTGGCCTATTGTACCAGCCCCAGATGCTAGTTGAGGGTGATTGTCGAGCAATTGTTGTGTCGAGCAATTGTTGAAATCAAGATTGGCAGGGGAAACCGAAGTACTCAGAGAAAACCTGCCCCAGCGCCACTTTGTCCACCACTAATCCCACTTGACCAGACGGAGGATCGATCCCAGGCCACCAGTGGGAAGCCGGCAACTAACCGCTTGAGCTATGGCGTGGCCCTAGCATAGACACTAGATCAACCTATCCGGTCCAAAAGTATTAAAATATTTAAATTTCAAAAATCATTTTCAGTGGGTCATATTTCATTTATACACAAAAAAATTATGGTAAACAAAAGTGTGCTAATCAACACATGACTGTGATCAGGCCATGAACTACCAATATTCTGTACTGGTCATAGAGAAAGACAGATTACCATGAAGCTCTGATGGAGGAATAAATTTACAGTCTTCAGGGGGCACAATTATTTGCTCAGGTCTGCAAGGTTGCATGAAACACACACATGCACCTAATGATCTAAGATGTAACATTTGGGTACTGTGTTGGTTTGCATTTAATTCCAAATTATGACAATACACCAGCATGTAAGTAACGTTACAAGATAAACTGACACGGCTACTCATGCAAGGTAGATACCCTATCTCAGTTCCAGTAATGCATATAAATTTCGGTACACTGCTCCTCGCTAATGTTGTTTCTTCAAATTAAAACTATATGAAATTGTTCCATGGACAGGATAAGAGCACAATATTGGTTCACTGCAACGTTTCATTCTTTCGTAATTAATTAGGTCAAGTGAGCAAAACGCTTGGGAACCATTCTAGTTCAACGCTAACTAAACTTATATGCAAGAACTACAATCAAACTCCCCCTTCCTGCAAAATACGTACGTTAAAGTCCAAGTGCATTTACAACACTTAATCTCTATACCCCCCACCCCCAAAAGACGCTCGATTAAATTTTACTTAGTTACCCGGAACGAGGCTTGATGAGCAACAAAAACCGACTATATATATATGTGTGAGGTTATACTTACTTCCCCTCTTAGAAACTGCTGGGCCCTTTGCTTTCTTCTTTGGTTTCGTTTTAGCTGGCAATTTGGTTTTAACTTTTAATTTGCCTTGTGGCATATTTCCCACTTTATATACGTAGCTTACTGAATTCGTACAAGCTTGTTACAAGTCGAAACAATTAGCTTACAACGCAAAGCTTCTGCATTCGACCTCAGCGAATTGACTGCCCTCTACCAAACGATTTGGAAGCTTGTACGAACTCCATCCGCAACCATTACCGACCATTTACAGTACGCTCGTGACAAATATTCCGCACATAAAAAAAATTAAACTTCGATTGACCTTCAGCGGATCTACATGGCGTTATATCCCAGAAGACATAACTTTTCATAGTAAATACAAGTCTGGAAATGTAGTATGGCATAATTATGACGAAGTCGCTTTTTATTTCATTATCTAGAAAACTTTCCCTTCCAGGGAATCGGCCGCAGTTAACCTGCCCGTAACCCGTCGCTATGCCGACCATACCGACTGACTTATCCCGGCTTCGGTATACTGGGTGTAAAATATGCGCCGAAAACATGAAGATAGGCCAGGCAGATACACATGGGAATTGCCAAGAAGCCACAACGAACACACGAACAGGAAGGGTACCCAACCTTCGGGAAACGATGGCCTGCCAAGAGATGGAGGCACGTCTACACGAAGAAAAGCCGACCTCAGCGGACAGGAAACCTGAGGTGGCCCAACGAAGACGCCGTAGTGAAACCGGTCAAAGGACGGAAGAAGCGGTATAGGTGCAAGAAGCAAGCGGGACGGTCGGCGTTCCGCCCCTCTACCCCGCGGAGACTTGACAGCTCTGGCCACTGTGACGTCACAGTTGCGTCAGCGCTCCCTCCCGCACTGTGACGTGGCCAGCTTCCCGCTGTTACGTGGCACCCCTTCTTACTGTGACGTGGCAAGCAACGCCGATGATGACACGGGCAACAGCGAAAGGAATAAAAAGCCGGCCGAGCAGGTAGAAGAGTTAGTGTGTGATCAGGAGTGACGCAGTTAAAACGTAGCCGCCGCCGCAGGAGGCAGTTGAATTGGAGCAGTCAACCAGTCAGTCGGAGCTAGTCAGTTCAGTCCAGTGCAGTGGAGCGGAGTGAGTTAGTGGAGCGGAGTTGTGTGAAGTGAAGAGTTTAGTGAGTCGACAGACAGTCGCCGGCGTGAACACAGAAAGAAGAAAAATGTCTCGCAGACCTGAAACACGAGGATATCGGAATTTCTCCTGGTTTATACGACGCTGGAGAACCTGGAGAATAATTGGAAGAAGAGTATATGAGGCCGCGAGAGGTAACACATTCTTCCAGGAGATGTCAGACATAGAGGAGGAGCAGATGAAAGAAGAGCTACGAACTACTTTATTGAAGGCAGAGAAACTGAAAAAGGAGATGAACACATTACGTAATTTAATGGAAGATGAGGCAGCTGACAGAGAATATGAGAGAGCAAACATGATGAAGAGAATCGAGGAACTAGAAGAAAGGGAGGATCAATTATATGCGATTGTCACTGAACAATTACGTGATGGCAAGAGTAATGAATCAGAGCCTGAGAGTGATTATGATAACGGGGATGATCCTGCTGAGGAAGAAGATATCACTGAACGTACATCATCGTACTTCACCACGGGCCGTGAATTGACTGAAAGCAGCTGGAATCCTTACTGGGAGAGTGATGAAAGAGCAGAAGAAAGATCAGAGGGAGTTGGAACATCTTCTACAACAGTGCCTCCTGCTGCTAGCATGTTAGATGGAAGAAGTGATGGACAGTCAGAAACGTGTACCATTTGCTTATGTGAATTAGTCGCACAGAATATTGGGACTCCAGAAGGTTGTAAGCACAATTTCTGTGCAGACTGTCTCCAGCAGTGGTTGAAGACTACTAACACTTGCCCAATAGATCGACAGGTGTGTGATGTAATAGTTGTGCGCCGCTGTCTGGGGGGAGAAGTTATCGGAACAATCCGTGTGGAAGATGTGGAGCCACCAAGACAACAAGAAGAAGAAGAAGACGATGAAGAAATAGATATAGATTATTTACCGCGTTGTGAGTTGTGTGATAGCAGTGATCGTTACTATGAACTACTTCATTGTGATACATGTGGACGAGGTTACCACTTGGAATGTGTGTATCCAAATATGGACATTGTGGATCGGCGGACTCTAGAGACTCTGAGTGAATGGTTCTGCCGTGAATGTGATTACGTTTATAACTAAATATGTTACAACATAAATAAAATCTTACATGGGTGTGAAATGTTTAGTTTTTTAATCAACTCAAGTCCTATACATTTTTCGCTCGGACAAATATTTAGCGAGTTTTGCGCGAGTTTCTTTTTTCATTTTGTTTCCGATTTTAACCAAATTAAAGAATTAATTAAAGAATTGGTCTGTGATATTAAGCAATTTAGAGTGGCTTTACATGCAATTTTCCATCGTAAATCTTACTATATTTTATATTTTAACTTTAATTTATTATATTATATTATATTAAATATTATAGTGTGACATGCTGAGCTATGGATGACGCCCCTCCCCCACCCCCGCCAGCCGTGATGCGCCGAGCGAAGCCGAAGCGAGCCGATGTTAGCCGAGTCCTAGCATCCTGGTCGCTAGGCGAGTCAAC